TCATGGCTGGTCTTGGCGGTAAGGCACTAAGCTTCGGTTTATGGGGCCCGAACCACCCTCAACCCTAATTCGGATTCAGACTGATCCTCTCACTACGTATTAGTATCTCTACTAGTATCTCTACTCCGTATACGCAGTATCCTCCATCTTTCATCTTGTACCAAGAAACCGTACTCGTCATATTGGCTTCGGATTTGACAGGTCGGCCTCCTGACAGTGCGCAGTACCAGTATGTAGTCGTTACGGGACATGGAATCATCTGAAGACCCTCTCTTGCACAGGAAGCAAAATACCATGCATATGAGACATGAACAATGCGTAATGGCTCCCTGAGTCATGTCTGCAACATGACAGGTCGAACCTATACACTTCTCTATAACGGTCCACCACAGTGCCCGTCATGAATTTATAGAAATTCGATATGTACTTGATACTCTACGTGTCTCTTCACAGCTTTTATAGTAGCAACCCTGGATCGGTTCGATAGACGATTAGACAATTAATAGCATGGCATAGAGGGGTTCTTGAAATCAACAAGGGCAGCAAGCTTGGGGCACATCGGCGACTAGTAGTTGGGGCTAAAGTATCGATAGGATCAACTAATAATAAGTGAACGGCCGATTTGATGAGCTTGGGGAGGCTCAGCAATTCCTTATAAGTGTGTGGAGTAGATTAAAAGAGGCCAGGATTTTGTTTGAGAACACGAAACCAGAGTGACAGTGGAAAGCCGTTATGGTCAGAGGTGTCCACTGAGATCGACGCGGAAAGGGAGAAGCGATAGTTTCTTTGGCTGGAAACTCTCCTTCATGCTGTGGTCCAAGCTTTTTCCCTCGCGCGTTCAGGGCGCGTGTCATGGGAGGGCGGTCGCGAGGAAGCCCGAAAAAGTGGCACCTGGATTAGCTATCGATGGACGCTGATCCAATCATTCATGAAATCGGTCGCGTCGGTCGAGTCGCGTGTTTTTTGGAGACATCAATAATTTGTCGCCCGATCAGAAAGACGCTATCATAATAATTAAAGAAGGAAAGACAAATCGGCCGTTCATTAGAGGTACTACTCGTGCTAAGTGGCTTTGCAAACAGTGTAGTTGTCGTGGGGTAAACAAGAACATGTTCTCCGTAGTACAGGTAACAGTGCACTATGTTGCGCGGGATGATCTATCTAATCAGTCTCAGGGTTACATAAGGACAACTACAACGCCACAGCGTATTAATTTGAAGGGACTGTAGACTAACAACATAAGCGAAAGATCGGTCTCTTCTAGATTCGAGCCGAGAACAATAATTTGAGACAAACTGAAAGCGAAAGAAGTCGAGTCAAAGAGGGTAAAAAAAATACGTGACAGCCACCTACGACCCAGATAGGATTAGCGCAGCCGACGCGTGACTGGGAGGGATTCCCCTTCGAAACTCCGTCACCCCAAGAGGGCCCCATCACCAGCCCTTGGATCTAACCTTCAGCGCTGTTTCAACATCCCATTCCTCACCAGACGGTGGTCGGGTCCGTCTCAAATGACCTCCACAAGTTGCTTGAATATCTTCAATCAGCACCAAGTCTGGTGAGAGGTACTATTTATTCACCTATCGTCGCTCTCTCAAGCCGCCTGGTTTCTAGTTGATCTGGATTATTGCTCGGAGCGGAGAAGGGTTTGGCTATCGTCAACAGATTCATTCACCAAACAGGCGCCTTGAAGTGATCCGACTCACAGGAAACACAAAATATCTTCCTAATCTACCATCTCACAAGCGCTTCCACAATTGAGCTTCTATATACCACCATACACTTTGCGATCCGACATTGGCGACTGTCGCATTCCCCCGGTTGGCCAAAGTCCATCCCTCCTTCGACCGCCATTTGAACCAGGCGTGATCAACCACCCCGCCAGAAGGATGGGCGACAACATCCACGACACAAATACGGTTGCCACCCGCAGCGCAACAAGAAATGCTTCACGTGCAAAACCATCCGGAAGTGCCGCCAATGCATTAAACCTCGCATCCCCGCCTGGGTCAAGGACGCCGCCCAGCATGCCATCAAAAAAGACCATTTTCTATCCTGATTCGCTAGGCAGGCAACAGAAAAGCCGAAACGGTCCGGAGGCTATCGACCCGGATGCGCTTGCGAAAGCTTTGAAGGACTACGAGGACGCTGGGCGCCCCCGCGAGAGAACACCCGGAACCAGTCCCAGTCGAAAAAGGCAGCGGGTATATGGCGACAGGTCAGTAACGACAATTCCCCCATAATAGCCTACCGTCGTCCTATGGTTCTTCTGCGCCTAGTCTAGGATGTCCGGTCGATTTATTACTAAACTCCTATATAGATTCATCCCGAATCGGGAAGGGCAGGACCTCCAAGCAACCTACAGTTTGCTCCACGAGGACGGGTGTCCTTCTACTCCTTCGAAATCGAAAAAGCGTGCGCCGCACTCGGAGCTTCATTTTCAAAAGAGTTAGTCCGTACCTTCTCCACGCTTATAGTGTGAAACATCGGCTAACATCTTTTCCAGCGGAGGAAGCAAACAGAATGTACTCGCGAGTACTGCGGAGCGAGCTGTTTGGTAGTACTGTCCCGCAAGCTGACCTGGACTCATTATCACCGGATCCTTTGCTGGGCCTCAGTAATGGTATCAATGAAAAGACTCGCTCCCATACCCCTCCGTCGCATGTGTCAAATCTTCCTCCAGCAAGCATAACGCCGTCAACACCCCACAAGAACCTTTTCAACTACGCCTCCCCACGTGGATCTGGACATCCTACCCCTTCTAAAACCCCCCGGAGTCAACATGGCCCCAACCTCAATGTTCGATCAGAGCTCTACAGTCTGTCACCGATCCGCTATGATAGTCAACGCATCCTTGAGACCCCTCGCAAACAACCACGTTATGTCAACAAAGTCCCATACAAAGTACTGGACGCACCCGACTTGCAAGATGATTTCTATCTAAATCTGGTGGATTGGGGGAGTAGTAACGTTTTAGGTGTTGGCCTTGGAAATTCCGTCTATATGTGGAATTCGCAAAGCGGATCGGTGACTAAGTTATGTGAGCTAAGAGACGACACCGTCACAAGCGTGAACTGGATTCAACGAGTGAGTCATTAAAGTATATCACTGCATTGGCGCGGGGACTAACGGAGCGACAGGGTACACATCTTGCTATAGGGACTGGGAAGGGACTTGTACAGATCTGGGATGCGGAGCGCTGTCGTCGTCTTCGAACGATGATTGGCCATACCAATCGTGTAGGCGCCCTGGCTTGGAATGATCATATCCTTACATCCGGCTCGCGAGATCGCCTCATCTATCACCGAGATGTTCGTTCTCCGGATCAGTATCTTCGGCGACTTTCTGGCCATAAGCAAGAAGTCTGCGGTCTCCGATGGAATACAGAAGACGGTCAGTTGGCTTCGGGCGGGAACGACAACAAACTTTTGGTGTGGGATAAATTAAACGAGACACCCCTCTATCGATTTTCTGACCACACTGCGGCTGTCAAAGCGATTGCTTGGTCACCTCATCAGCATCATTTACTTGCTTCTGGCGGTGGAACGGCCGATCGGACTATCAAGTTCTGGAATACCTCCACTGGATCTTTGATCAAGGAAGTTGACACGGGGAGTCAAGTCTGCAACCTAGCCTGGTCGAAAAATTCCGACGAAATCATCAGCACACACGGTTACAGTCAGAATCAGATTGTAATCTGGAAGTATCCACGTATGGAACAGATCGTATCATTAACGGGACATACGTTTCGTGTCCTGTATCTGGCAATGAGCCCCGATGGCCAAACGGTGGTTACGGGCGCTGGTGATGAGACTTTGAGGTTTTGGAAGATCTTTAACAAGAGGTCCGGGAGAGACCAAGGGCGTGAAGGCAGCAAGTTGGCGGAATGGGGCACCATCCGATGATATTACGATCGATATATTTGATGACCTTAGTGCTACGGCATCTTTAACATACCCTGCAAAGGGCTTTCGATATGCATTAGACACGGCGTTCACGGAATCTGGCGTTGTTTCAATCCTGGGTATATCCTTGGTCGGTCCGGGGCAGGGTTATCAGGGTTTAATTGGCATCTCTCGCATTTTGTGGGTTTACGGCATTTGACAGGCGCTTATTTGCGAGGCGCTTGTGTCCCAGCATTTGATCACATATTTTGTCATGTACCGTTGGCCTTATTCGTGTTATTCGCGCCTTCGCCACTATGCCTGCGTTTCTGCGCCACTTCTTTTGATTTATATTTAACCGACCTTGTTTTACTAGGCCGCGAGCCTTTCGCAACCAGTCCCCCGTCTCTCCTTGCACTAAATGTAAGCGGCGTTTGCTCATTGGGAAATGTGGTGGGGAAGCCTCGAGTACTCTCATCTTGCCATGATCGCATTATATGTATCTTTTTCTCTTCGTCGTTTTCCTTTCTGGCGGGATTGATGAGATGACTTGTTAAATCGAGGCGTTGTTTAGTTCGCTATATTCCAGGGTCTCGTCCACTCCGGAGACACTTGCAATGTGAAGCAGTGTTGACCATTGTTCTAAAAATAACAAGAATGAAATCTGCCAATGTGGATTTGAAGTAGACGCGCGCGTATACATGTACCGTAGTCTGAGTCACGTAGCTTTGATTGGGTTGTACTGCGCTACTATGTTATCTATGTCCATTTTCCTTGCAACATCTCTCTGGCTACCTTTCCATTCTATCCCCGATCCCTCACAGAATGCTGGCTTAACAATTTAGTGCCAACGAATGCCAATTTTCCTGTCCAAGAATATTCAGATTCAGCGAAGCATCTTTTTCATTCCAGACAAAACAACTCCGATCATATATTGCTAGTAGTACTATGCCCCTCCCCGGCCCTGGATAAGCTTCCAATCGAACTAACCGGAACATACCTTATCTAAGTATCATACCAAGGTTTCTACAACCTAAACTTAATTGAATTGGGTTCTAGTCAATTCCTAATACACTCCCGGTGCTGACACAACAGAAGGTTCCAGTGTGATATAACTCACAGAGCCGACTTCTTCTTGGTATACCCGGCGGTCCAGAATCCAGGCCACTCACTCGGCAGCTCTTCCACAATGAACCTGAATATGGCAGCCTGTACCTCCTCCGGCTTTTCATATTGCGCAAAGTGTCCTGCATCGATTGTAACCTCCGTCAAATTGCTACATGCCTCTCTCATTGGATCGGCCAGGCGAGACGTTATGGTATCACACACCACATCTCTGACGTCATGGATAAACAGGACTGGTTGATCCAGCTTCCCATCACGTTTCCCGTTGTATTCCGCATTCCGCGCATGGTGCAGGTAGTACGCAGATCCGGGCCAGAAGCCGGTCCTCCGCATATCCTGAACAAACGAATCGAAGACCTCTGGAGGGAGCACCGGAGGTCCTGTCATGTCCACACTTGGGGGTTTTGGCATCCCGCCCATCCATCCGCCGGCTTTGCGCACGGTGGCAGTCACCTGGGCAAAGCGGCTAGCCGGGGCCTTGGCCGGTTGTAATGAAGCCTTGCAGAATCCTGCAATGTCACTGTCGAACCATTCAATGGTCTTTTCGAAGTTCTCCTCCCAGTTCTTCATATAGTCCCACTGCCCGAACTCGTATTCGTCCGCCGGGTAGAGCTCGCGGTTCACAAAGGGAAGGAAACCCTGCCAGCCGCGCTCGATAGTATGGAATGGCACCGACAGGGTCACCAGCGCTTTAACCACTTCAGGGTGTTGCGTCGCGACGGAGGATGTTACGCCCGCACCCCAGTCGTGGCCAACCCAGATCGCTGCATCGCGGCCTGTGTCGGCTAGCAACGCCATCATGCCCTCCACGATGGCCTCCTGACAGTAGTCGTCGGCCACGCGGCGGGCAGTCGACTGCCCGTATCCTGGCATATCAGGGGCAATTGCGCGGAATCCGACGGATGCGAAGGCATCGATTTGCGCCTTCCAGGTGATTGCAGTACCTGGCCAGCCATGGATGAAGAGAACCAGAGGGCCATTTACAGGGCCTGCCGCTAGATAGTGAATCTTTTTGTCGCCTGCGTAGACGACATTGTGGTCTGTGATGGCTACCATGGTGATAGATGACCGTACTTTCAATCGGGAGTCTAGATTCCCGCGGATCTGTGAGACGTCGATCGTTCTGCGTTGCTTGTTTGATGGTCGTAGATACAGGAGGCTACTTGGGTGTTGTCCCCTCGACGGTCAGAAGTCTTGGGGAAGATCAAAATGGGGGCGATCAGGTGGGGTGAGATATTTAAATCTATAGGAATACGGAGTACTACTAGGTAAGCACTTCCCCCCACAGCATCGTGAAACATGATCCAATACAACTTCTTATTAAGTGCACTCCACCAATCGCTAACTATGGCAAGTATTATTACGAGTCACACTCCATAAGTCAGTCTTATCATGTCCTGCTCCGTGCTGACGCCGATACGTCGTTCGCCTTGTCGGCCGGAAATGGATGTCAATCTCTCGGGATTAAGCATCGGGATTATGCACCTTATACTCAACGCCGGTCAAACACCGTTAACTCCTCGCTCTGGTGTTGAATTGGGGGCCACTCTGAGATTTAAAAATGAGGACATGGCCGTCGAAATGGTATTGAAACCCATCATCACAAATTGCAGTGACTTCAAAGTTTCGTCAGCGTGCACCTCACTGGACAAAGATGCCCGAGATTGTTGGCAAGGAAGTAGGCCCCATTGGCTTCGGTCTGATGGGATTGACTTGGCGAGCGACGCCACCGTCTCAGCAGCAGGCCTTTGAGGCTATGCGCGCCGCAATACATAGTGGAAGTATGTAATTGATTGCTCGGCAGGTAGCCGGCTAGTCCTGTTTTCTCCATGGTAACAAGTTTTTGTGACTCCAGGTAACTGTTGGAATGGTGCCGAATTCTATGGACCCCCGGATTACAACAGTCTTGTGCTCTTGGAACGGTACCTCGAGAAATATCCGGAAGATGCCGACAAAATCATTCTGAACATCAAGGGTGGTATAAACCCCCAAACTCACCAGGTCGACGCCTCGCCGGAGAACACACGCAGAAGCCTAGATGACTGTATCGCTCAGTTGAAGGGCCGCAAGCAAAAAATCGACATATTTGAGTTCGGCCGCCGCGACCCAACTGTGCCGATGGATGTGATCTTTGATTTGATCGATAAAGAGTATGTCCAGACTGGGAAGATCGGAGGGATTGGGCTCTCAGAAGTGCGGGCTGAGACTATCCATGAAGCCGTTAAACACACCAAGGTGGTGGCGGTAGAGGCCGAACTCTCCTTGTAAGTTATTTAAATCGATTCCATGGCCGCACATGTTGACTGAGACAGGTTCACTACCGACATCTTGGAGAATGGCGTCGCAGCGGCATGCGCCCAATATGGGATCCCAATCGTCGCCTACTCACCCATTGGCAGAGGCATGTTAACCGGCCAGTTCAAGAAGTTTGACGACCTCCCAAAGGACTCATTGTTATTTTCCTTCAACTTCCCTCGCTTCCAGCAGGGTAACTTTGAGAAAAACCTGCACCTGGTCGAGAAGGTAGAGGAGATGGCGAAGAAAAAGGACTGCACCCCAGCACAGCTGGCTATCAACTGGACGAGAATGTTATCAAGGCGTCCGGGGATGCCAACTATTATTCCAATTCCCGGTGCGACAACAGCGGAGCGAGTGAAGGAGAACAGCCAGCTTATCGACATCACGGATGAAGAGATGGCGGAGATTGATGCGATTTTGGTGAAGTTCACTCCAGCTGGTGGACGATACCCCGAGATCATTCCGACTAATACATAGGCTATGACCGTTGTATCTGAGCTGGTTAGCGTACCATAATTAAGACTGTATGTGTTTATGCAAACTTTTGCTTTTAAAGCTCATATTGTCACCCTGTTGCTTCCCTATAAGCAGGCGGGTTGTATAGAATGTAGATTCCATATGAAGTGGTGCTTGTATATCGTGGACACAGCAAACTATCTAGTTTTATCCTTTCAAGAGCCCCTAAGAAACTACATTAGATATAATAATGCAATTCTCACAGAGCTTTATCACAAGAAAAAAACAACTGGAGATTCGAAAAAGGATCAGCCCTAACTATGCAGCAGCAAAGAGGAGTAACATGGCAGTAACAGGTAAACTACATTTATTTGAGGAAACAGATGTCCTTTCGAGATATAGAAAGACGTGGAGTTTTAGATTCAACAGCATCTGGCATGTTTAACAATAATCATCGACTGTCTACTGTCCAGTTCAAGACGTCTCCACGTAGAAGACGACTGGTTCTCCAGCACCGGCTCCTTTCCTGCATCACGTTATTGGGGTAAGTGGGCGTGGGAAGATTTCAGAAATACCCACAGAGACGGCCATGGAATACTAGGGTAGCCACTGAATACCCACTGAGCTACAGCCTATGATGCACTATGCTCACTGAACACTGCGCGGAGTACCCTTACTAAAGCAGTGGCATCCAGACAAGGAAATTTAGTTCAGATCAGTAGAAAAATTCCGGTTCGTATAGGTGTATATATGATATAAAAACACAACCTCCGATGATCTCTAGATTGGAGATACGTCCCAAACCCAATTGAGAACGATTCATTACTTATGCTACACTGGTTATGGAAGATTAGCCCACATGATCCGATGACATAGTTCTACACATTCTCTTAGAACTCACAATATGGATAGAAGATTTATAGAACTAGTCTTCCAGGCTCAACCGTCAAAAGAGCCTTGACACGGTCCAAGAAAACCCTGGCCCTCTTTTCTTCTTCAACAGGAACAGTCAGACTGAAGACATTGGCGGCGTTACCAGCCGGAGACTCCACCCCTGAGGGCCGGGAAGCGGCCTTAGAGACTTTGCCGCTAAGAATATCGATGATATCTTCCTTAACGGGTTTGGCCGGCTGAGCGGCGGAGGGCGCCTCCACTGCGTTCAACTCAGGAAAGTAATCGCCCCGGGATGTCTGGATGGGCTTTGCACCGAGAACCTCTTCGAATAGCTCGTCGGCGGACTGCTTCTCGCGAGATGAACGGGGGAGGTCGTCGTTGGCCAGGTCGGTAGCACGGGCGAGGAATGTCGCAAGGGGCACGTTAACACCCAAAGTCTCTTGGATCTTCTTCTGGACGGACAGGACAGTAGCCAGGGAAATCGAGACGGCTACGGAGGTAGTTGGTGGGGGTCTAGCAACTGACTCCTCGGCCACTGGCTGTGGCTCAGCGGGCTTGGGCGGCGCGGCGATCTTGATGTTGCTCAGATCGAGGTGGGCAAGCTTATCAAACCGGGCTTGCTGGGTGGCGGGATAACCAGCCGGGATAGAGCCGAGGTAGGCGAGCACATCGCCCTTGAGAAGACGGCCCTTGGGACCAGACGCCGGGATCTTCGAAACCTCCGATTCTGGAATGCCCTTCTCGTGAAGGAGCTGGATAACGGATGGGTACAGCGGGTAGGCGGGGTTCTGGGTCTGGACGGCAGAAGAAGATGCCAGGCCTAGATAATGCGGTCAAAAGCGATGTCAGCGTACATGTCCCAGAAGTTGTATATACCCCAGGCGCCTTTGCGAAAGAATCTCCCTCATTTGGATATCCCGCGGGCAACTTACGTCTTGTGGTACCGAGTACGCGTGGTTGCCGTCTGGCGAGCACGGCCGGAATTTGACGCACAGTGAAGCTGGAGGCCATTTCTGGGTATACAAAGATCACTCTTTATGAAATCTGGGTCGTGTGCTTTCTCCGGTCGTATGATACTCCCGTGGCGCTGTAATTGGATTCGGCGGACTAGGGACAGGAACGATCAAGAACCCACCACCACGTCGATGGGGCCGCACGGAATCCCAAGTGGATCGTGTGACTTGAGGCGATATCGCGATCTAAAGCTAATTGTAAGAAGACATAAACGCTGGATTTTACTGCAAAAGCTGAGACTGACCTTGTAGAGACGTTGAGGTTGTTGGGAGCTTCACCGGCCGCCCGGACGGGAACATTTTTCTGCCGCGGAGAGGACCGGATTCCAAGTCCGTCATTGTTGCTGAGAGCTATCGGAGTTCTCCATTGAACTATCGGTAAGTTCATTTTTCCTATGCGTTCCTTTCAATTGCCTAGCTCTAGACTGTATGGAATGTCGGAGCCCAATGCCCGCCCGGCATTCAGCGATTTCCACCTCGTATCTGATCCTTCCTACATATTCTAATGCTAATTGACCGTGTGCCTTGAACTAGGTACCATAATGTTTGCAAGATCTTTTGCTTTCCGTGCATTCTCGCCGCAGTGTCCCAGGACCTTCATAACCCCCGGATCGTCGGTGTCAAGCCCAACATGGAGATATTTCACTTCAAGCGCTGTTCGAACAAAGGCCGCAGTCAAAGTCAAGCCCCAATATAACCCTCCCCAATTCAAAGCGCCCCCACAAACCGAGCAAAGTCTGAAATTTGCTGGACGACGAGCAGAGGGGTTCGGAAAATTAGAACGAAAAGTCGCAAAAGAAGGACAAGTATTACTTTTCCAAGCGCCATCACATCGCAGCTATGTTCTAGGCGCCTACGGCATTTCAGCATTTTGCTTCGCTTACTCCGTGTACAACTCTAATGTTGTCTTTCGCGATCCGATAATACCTCTCCCAATGTGGCAGCAGGCTCTCTTTGGTGGTATCTGTGTCATGATGAGCGTCATGGGTACCGTGTTCCTTTTCAAAACTGGACGGCTGATCAAAACAGTCAATGCCGTTCAATCTAACGGACAGACCCATCTCCGCTTTACTGTTCGGAGCTTCATTCCTTTCAGGAAGCCATTTGAGTTCGATGCTTTACCTCATCAAATAGCGTTCTCTCGTCGGCTAGTTGTGACGCATGACTCTGTCACTCGCATGCAGCAGGCGGAGGCCGCTCAAAATGGGAACGTGAGCTTCTTCAAAGCGCCTTTGAAGAAGACGAGTATGCTCCTTTGGAGACTATTCCGATCTGTCCGGCAGTTGTTCACACAAGAAGACTTCATCCTCTTGGAAGTGGAAGGCCAAAAAGGTGTTATGAGGATGGATTCCGCGGGATTTGTATCGCAAGACTTTCTTGTGATTGGTAACCCGGTCACTTTCAGGCGTTAGATGACTGGGTGATCGATTTAGCCCGCTGTGAGCCAGCGGATTCTGACATTCATTCTGAAAGTATCTAATACTGTTATCGTTCTTGGTCCCGCTTGATTGGGGCCTTCTTGCATCCTGAACTGATAAAGCGTCTCGGTCTGTCCTTGTACAACAGATTCCCATGTATAAATAAAACCAATTCTTTTACCAAATGTAGCAGTGCCGAGCATAGTCTAAGCGAATGAAAAGAAAAAAGACGATATCATGGTTGTATTGTCCGCTGCACGTGACCTCCCGGCGCGTCCTCCTAATTGTCTGAGACGCGACTTCCAGATCACTATCGTGCGGGCCCCTCCAAACACCCGACGGTCAGTTGTTATTTACCCCAGAGTCTCTGGGTCGCCTGAGGTAGTTCTCAACACTTCGCTTTATCTTTCCAGACTTGCAACCGCGGTCGCCGAAAAGCGACTGCCTTGCCGCAAGATGGGGAAGCTCATCAGGCTCGAACTTTTTAGTATGCAGCGCTTTCAGAAGGCCATGATACATACTTGATTGCTGACTGGCACACAGACTTCAAATCTTACAAGGGACACCATACCCTTCTTTTCGGCGATGCCTATTTCACATCTATTATCGGACCCAACGGGTCCGGAAAGTCCAACTCGTGCGCTTCTCCGTATGCCCGACTGGAAATGTACGTGCGCTGACCATATCAGGATGGATGCTATTTCCTTTGTGCTAGGAATCAAATCTTCCCACTTGCGATCTACGAACCTTCGCGATCTTGTCTACCGCGGCCGTGTCCTGCGCACCTCGAAACTTGATGCCGATGGCAATGTTATCGATGAAGAACCAAACGGGCAGGATACCACAGAAGATGGAGTTGATGGAGGACAATCACAAGACCCCAGCGGATCAAACGATCCTAAAACAGCCTGGGTTATGGCAGTCTACGAGGACGATGCCGGCGAGGAGCAGCAATGGCGACGGTCGATTACGAGCCAGGGAGTCAGTGAATACCGCATCAACAACCGTATCGTGACAGCGCAGCAATATAATGAGGCGCTTGAGGCGGAGAATATCTTAATTAGGGCGCGCAACTTCTTGGTCTTCCAGGGTGATGTGGAGGCGATTGCGTCGCAGTCACCGAAGGATCTTACTCGGTTAATTGAGCAGATTTCGGGAAGTCTGGAATACAAGGCTGAGTACGAACGTCTCAAAGCGGAGGCAGAGGACGCTGCGGAGCAACAGACAGTCCAGCTCAACCGTCGGCGAGCCATTAATTCCGAGATCAAGCAATACCAAGAACAGAAGCGGGAGGCCGAGAATTATGCCCGTAAAGCGGAGGAGCGCGACCAAGCTATCATCACTCATATCCTCTGGAAGCTCTTCCATTTCCAGCGCATGATCGACGATTCCAGTGCAGAGATCTTGAAGTACCAAGATGAACTCAAGGAATACCGCCGGGGCGTTGAGAAGTATGAAAAGAACGTCGAGGATGCTAAGAAGGAACACGCGAGTGTTGGTCGAGAGGTAGCAAAGGCCGACAAGAATATCACGAAGAAAGAGAAGGATATCGAGGAGGCCGCTAATGACCTGGTTCCGATCGACGAGAAAGTCGACATTACTATGAAAAAGGTAGAGCGGTTTGCCTCTCGGATCGCGGAGATTGGCAAGGAGCGAGACTCGCAATCAGGCAATGTCAAGCGGCTCGAGAAAGACTTGAAGGTCGTTGAAAAGGCCCAATCCCAGTGGGAAGCAGAGTGGCAAAAGACAATGACCAAACAAGGCGTTCAACTGAGCGAGGCTGATCAGCAAGAATACAACAAACTTAAAGAAGAAGTCAACAAGCGATCATCTGCGGAGCAGCTGAACCTTGACAACTTGCGGCGCCAAATGAAGACTGAAGCTGAAGCCTACAACAGCCTTAAAAGCAAATTTGAAAGCACCGAGTGGCAGCTCAAGACTTTAGAATCAGATACAACCTCCTTGACTGAGCGTAAATCGTCTATCAAGGATACGGTCAAAACTACATCTAAAGATATCGAACGCAAGAAGAAGGAGTTGAACGCACTCACTTCCGAACGACTGCGTGTTTCGCAGATGAGGACTGAACTTGAAGAGAAGCTACAGGTTGTCTTAAAGAAGCTTCTTGAAGCTGATGACGGCAAGAAGCAGACTGAGAGGGAGATCAGAACAAAGGAGCTGATCTCGACCCTGAAGCGTATCTTTCCTGGCGTGAAAGGCCGCGTCAGTGACCTATGCAAGCCGAAACAGAAAAAATACGCCGACGCTGTGAGCACTGTTCTTGGCCGTCACTTTGATGCTATTGTTGTCGATAACGAGAAAACTGCCAAGGAGTGTATCCAGCATCTTCGTGATCAGAGAGCCGGCCAGGCTACCTTTATTCCTCTGGAGACTATCCAAGTTAAGGCATTCAATTCTAACCTGAAGGGAATGCACAGAGGAATGCGCCCAGCAATTGAAACAGTGGATTATGATGACTCTGTAGCCAGAGCTATCAGCTATGCATGCGGAAACGCCATTGTGTGTGATGACTTGGCGACAGCCAAGTATCTCTGCTACGAAAAACATGTGGATGCGAAGGCCGTTACTCTCGACGGTACCGTTATCCACAAGGGTGGTTTGATGACTGGTGGCCGAGGCCCTCAGCAGAATTCAAAGCGCTGGGAAGATTCCGAGGTAGAGAATCTATTCAAGCTCAAGGACAAATTGATGGCCGACCTTGCCAATCTGCCCAAGGGCCATCGTCGGGGTACCGAAGAAGAAACGCTGCAAGGAGAGCTGGTTGGTCTTGAACAGCGCTTGTCGTATGCCCAAGAGGAGCTCAAAGCGCTTGAGAGGAACCTTCAAAGCAAGCACAGCGAATTGGACTTTGTCAAGCGCCAGCTCGAGGAGGTGAGGCCCAAGTACGTGGAGAAGCAGGAAGAACTGGCGGAGCTTGAACAGACCATCACAACATCCCAGGAAACCGTCAGCAATGTTGAAGATGAGGTCTATCGTAAATTCTGCAAGCGCCTTGGTTACAGCAACATTCGTGAATATGAAGTTCAGCAGGGTTCCCTACATGAAGAAGCTGCCCAGAAGAAACTTGAATTTACAACCCAAAAGAGCAGAATTGAGAATCAGCTCAGCTTTGAGAAGCAGCGTCTTCAGGCCACTCTTGATCGGATTGCCAGTCTGCAGACTCAACACCAGCGTGATCAAGATATGATTGAAGAGCTCAAAGAAGAACAAGAGCGCATCCGTAACCAACTAGACGAGTATAATGCGGAGCTCGAAATTCTTCGCGAGCGTCTCGAGCAGCGGAAGGAATCTTACGCGCAATCTGCTGAAAACCTCACACAACATCGTAGGGAGCTCCAAAGGCGCAGCAGAGATGTGGAAGCTACCTTGAAGAACGTGAATGCATTGGAAACAGAGGTCCAGCGCAACTCATCCAGCCGATACGCTCTTCTTCGGCGCTGCAAACTCGAGGATATTGACCTCCCATTGACCGAGGGATCAAACCCTCTAGACCAGCTTCCTATTGATGAGCTTGTCCAAGCAGCCGACCCTGACGCAATGGATGTTGATGAAGACGCGAACGGTGGCGCTGACGGCGCTTTCACGGTTCAGGACTATGGTATTGAGGTTGATTTCGACTCTCTCGGCGAAACACTCAAGGAGGTGAGCACTGCTACCTATGCTGTTCCAGAATACATACTAACTTCGCCCTAGGAGTCCGACGAAAAGCTCGAAGAGGAGTTACTAGATAAAGTTCGGTCTCTGAACAGTGAACTCGACAAGATGGCTCCGAATACCCGTGCAATGGAACGGCTGGAGAGTGTCGAAAATAAACTCCGAAGCACAGAGAAGGACTTTGACGAGTCGCGAAAACACGCTCGAAAGACCAAGGAGGACTTCGAGGAAGTGATGCGCCAACGATCAGAGCTATTCAACCAGGCGTTTACTCACATATCGGAGCAAATCCAGCCCATCTATCGCGACTTGACAAAGAGTAGCAACTATCCATTAGGTGGACAGGCGTAAGTTACGGGGAATTCGTGTGTAGTTAATCTGCGCCTATGCTGATGAGATATTACCACTCGATAGGTACCTGGACATCGAAGATTCAGATGAGCCATATCTTGATGGTATCAAATACCATGCCATGCCACCGCTTAAGCGTTTCCGAGACATGGAGCACCTATCTGGTGGTGAGAAAACCATGGCAGCGTTGGCTCTCCTGTTTGCCATCCATTCGTACCAACCATCGCCATTCTTCGTGCTGGACGAAGTTGATGCTGCCCTCGACAACACTAACGTCGCTCGGATTGCGAACTACATTCATGATCACGCTGCTCCGGGTATGCAGTTTATCGTCATCAGTTTGAAGACTGGTCTCTTCCAGAACAGTGAGGCCTTGGTTGGTATTTACCGAGATCAGACCGAGAACAGCAGTAAATCCTTGACCCTTGATGTGAGCTTTGCCTTTCTCTCCCCTTGATTGACATGTGGCACGGCGATTGACTTTGGTTTCTCTTGCAGCTCCGGAAATATAATTAGACGACTCGGACTGGTATATTCACCACCAGGGAAACAGTCCTTTCTTGATGATATGTAGAATAGTGGTTGATCTTCTTTCTTTCGTGGTTCATAGCTACGATACTACTGGTTCTTGCAACGGAATAATGGTTCGCTGTAGGCAATTGATTTGCTTTCTTTGATGTACAGTGGCAGTGCACAGTAGCGAAGCTAATCTGTCCATTGGTTTCATACTCCATACAGAGTCCCAAAACCGCAGTTTCCCCCTTAAAAAGCCTGACAGTCTCCACTTTGGTTGACACGAACAGTTGCCGACCGGTTGAGTACATACTCAATAGTTTGGACCTTCCCGTGGCATGAGAAAGGCACGGACTGCGTTGCGTGCAGGGCCTAGGTCCTGGCATCGGATTTCATCCGAAGCATAACGTGGTCGTTTCAGCTTCCTAGGAAGGTTGTCCAAGGTATATTCCCTCGACGGACATTTGCAGTTACATGAAAGGCGGGCCCTATTGCAGTATGTAGTTACCATCCTTACTTGATGACAGTTCGGGATACTGCGCAGCGCGTCCGGGAGATACCCCAGTCTTCTATGTACATGTTTTGGTGTAGTGGGTTGTCTGTACAGGTAGCATTCCTCAGTCCATGCATACGAGGCTGGCGCGAACCGTCGGCATACTAATGCCAACGAAAGACGATCCCAGACTGCCAAATATGGCAATATCGTTTTGGCGACTCCATTTTGGACTTGGCGATATGGGGGGGGGGGGGGCGAAAAACACAAACACAAGAACTGGAAGTGTGGGTATTTTTGAAATTTGAAGGCGAAATGGGCGGGAGGAAAACTTCGCCACGGAGAAATGAAAGGGTAGACCCGACGCTCTGGGTCGAGAATCAATAGACTATGGAAACTTACCTTCCGGTTGCCTGTAATCCGTGTCCATCAGATCGGCACTCGATCAATGGTGGGCAGGCGTCTAGATCACTGATCGGTTGTGCCCGTCGAATCCTGCCAGCTGGGTAGGCGTAAGCCACAATGCGGTTGTGGATTGTTGCTATGTATGGAGAGGCGGGCCCACTTCTGTAAGAGATGAGGTAGTGGAGCTTGGAAGGTTCGCCATCCGAGTGGTTGCGCACTTCTTCAATCTATTAGGGGTACATGGAAGTCGCGCTTTCCGTAACCTACTCTGTATGCGCCGAGTGCAGCGGAATTGACGACCGTATGCATCGCAAATCCGGATAGAACCTAAGAGCCTAGCTAGATACATTGATTATGAGATGAGATCCACCTGGATGTAACCCGCGTTACAAAATACCACCAGGAACGACTAATGAGGGGGCCGAGTTGAGCGACTGTCAGAGCAAGAACCTCCTTGTGGGGAGGTCTCTTAGATTTTGGTGCGGTTTCATATGGTGAGCCTCCCATTTGCAAGGCAAAAGATCATCTTCCCCGGATACGCGTTTTAATGAATGCAGATCAGTGCGAGGTCGATCTTCAGAGATAGAGTTTTGTGCTGAGGACCGTCGAATCTCCTCCGGAGGCTTGGATTCTAGTAAGTATCGGCGAAGGATTTCATGGCGGCAACGCTTCGAATCACGTAAACAGCACTTTCCAGAGAGAAGTACGTGGTTGTCAGTCATGTTCTCCATTGGCAATGATGGCTGTCATCGTAAATTAAGTCGGGAGGGTCAAAGCGCGGATAGGCAGGAAATTTGCATCAATATCAGCAATGCGACAGCAATAGTGTACTGTGGGATAAATTAAGTATTGAATGTCATCTGTACTTCGTACAGGGGCAATATTCTCGATAAGGATGCATCTACCGGTTGCGTCCGTACCAGCGGAATTCATCGTTAAACTAGTACAGCGACAATATCCAGGAGGTTATTCATCGAATGGTCGGTGTGGAAGCACGACGATCTGCGGTAGTTAGTGTGTTCGATATCTCATAAATCCACGGGCCAATAAGTTCGCTCAAACTGGAGGGCCTGAATACAGGTATCCAGACCCCAATAGATTAATCGATTTCTGTCGGTGCTCAGGCTGCACTAATGCTGCTGATAGCCATACTATCAGAAGATGATTGATTGGCACTTTTATCTCGTATTGGCTGACATTCTATATGCGCCGTTTGGGAATAAGGCACCAAAAGTGCCCAAGCTCTGCAGCCATCGTGATTTTAACCGTCGGTTTGTAACGTTACTATGGTGTTGCTCGGGTCACCAATCTGCAAGCCATCCTGTACAGTGTCCACCATTTGGTGCTTGCGTACGTGGCTGTCTTGGTGGCCATGCCTCCCCTGTCATAACATCGTTCGGTCCATCAATCAAATCAAGTCAAAAAAAAAAGACGGTTGTAAAAGCGAAGCAATCACCATCGACTTTCCCCGCAAAAGAGAGGGGATAGTTACTGCTTGGTTTTCCATTTGGCTTAACCCCCTGGTCACCATCTGCAGGAATGTTCCGAGTGCCACCGCTGACCACTACATCAACTGTGGTCGCATAGCTACTAAATTCGTGTAATCTGTCCAGGACCTCAGGTTGCTTTTTCTCTCCCGTTGGTCCTTCAGCTGCCTCGATGCACAGGATTTAATTCATAAATGTCTCAGTCGGGGCTCGCCGGAGATGAGAGGGCCCAATAGTGATGATCGGGTATATTCTCCGTGGGACGGTGAAACAATTTATGTCTCTTCCCAACAATACGTTGGAACAAAAGAACCAACTAACTGCAGTCTGTATCGTTCGTGGTAAGAATGAATATTCGGCTACGTTCGGGCCAATTCACTTTACTGACCAAAAAACGGTATCTATCACACATGTCAAGACTCGAAGAGTTTCTCCTGCATTGTCCACCATTGCAACATATTCGAGTTGCTATCGTTTTTGGGTGAACTTTATTGAAGCGATCGGCGGTCAAGCTGCAACTCTGATGTCCAATCTTCGTACAGGGTCTTGGTGGGAGGTAACGCCTTGAACCCAACTGACGTTGAGCCGGTACGAAAGGAGTTAATCCCACTGGCGGGTAATGGTTCCAGAACGTAACATGCCGAGCAGCTCCAGTTTAGCGACTTTCATAACATCCCAAAAGAAAGGCTTTAGTCGCTGGTGGAAAGGATCTCCGGCGCCATTACCGAGCCATGGAGCGGGCCTTGTGGAGACACTAGAAACAGGTCGCGTTAGTCTCTTTCCATTCAACTTGACGTTCAGATCTTCCCTGGACCATGTGACGCCCACTTGGAATAGGGCATCAGTGCTGCGGAAACTCGAGGACAATCCTTTGAGAAAGTCAAAGCCCGCACTATCGTGTCAGGCAGGCTGTTCCAGACAACTACTGGGCTAGATGATTGGTTGATATGGTGCCGAACCAGTGTCCTTCTACTGTGTGTGTGTGCGCCAGTCCTGTTGTTAATTGTAGAACCCTAGTCAACTCGGCCAGTTGAGGATGTTCATGCATCATCTCAGAGGCGTATACTTGGGTTACCACTCTTTCAGAACCCGGACTTGAAGATCATCATTCCGTTGACCAAACATAGTCTGATTAGAGTTAGGCTCAACCGCTCTGCTATTGGCGTTGGTCCATGAGGCTGGCTTGGTCTTCGCTTATCAACGAAATAGAACACACTAGTAGCTCAGAATGGTCCAGGCCATTGTTGCTTTTGGCGAAATAATGGGAACATACTAGTACATGAGTATCGGTACATGCAGCTCCCGTTCCCATAGCCTGAATGGTTCATTTGGTCATCGCCCAAATAAGGAATGGAATTCAGGCCACCAAGCTGGCAGGTGTTGGGAATAACAGCACGTCATTTCATCCCTATGTCTGTAAACACGACATCATCGATGTTTCTGGTGTGACTTGGCAGCATTTGGCGCCATGAACTGCCTCAACTTTCGCTTTCTCTTTTGGGGAAAAGATGTCCTAGTCATGCACAAGTATGGAGCCTAGTCCCCATTAATAGATTAATAAAAACTTAGGTGTATAGTTGGTGGCTTCGATCTTCTGTAGGTATTTGTTTTCCTTGCATTAGTCTGTCAATTGTAAAAGCCACAGTCGTGTTGACATGACCCATTGTTCATTTAGCATCGTACTTTTTCACTCTTGGCCGCGTACTCCAATAAGGGTATTGTTCTTCCTCGTCGTATAATATTTGGCTGCTTCTCGGCTGTAGATATGGTTTCAATGAACCCCCTGAAATCCTAAATTGCTGCAGACACCTCATGACCTAGCTGTCCCTTTCTGTCTCCCTATAATAGCCAATTCTCGTTGTTAACCGAGCATTTACTTTCATTCAAACTATACCAGCAATAAGTGGCGTTAAACAGAAACAGCCCTTGGCGAGATACCACTCATCTCGTATAATGAGTATGACTAGTCCAGAGTACAGCATGGATGCGATAGGTCAGCCTATGGCTGCGAAAGAAGAAGAGCAACCGCAGATACTTCCATATCACGATATGACTCGGTCGAAGGCACCGGTATGAACAAGAGCCCCCCATTGAATCGGACGCATCACAGTCTCATGTGATATCATGGATAGGAATGCTCGCCGACGACAACCATATTCAACTTCCCTTACCCACACTTCGCTTTGTTATACATCAACCGCAATGGAGAGCTCGGTGTGGAGGCTTCGTCTTCTATCGCAAGTTATGAGAAAGCGATCTTCACGCACGACGTTAAGGAGAGGTTTCTTAAATCAGCCACGGTCGGATGGCAGCCTGATTTGCAAAGTTATCATACCAGTAAGTGAAGAGGTAATCGATGGAGGGATCATAAGAAGAACATAGTAATAACCAGGATGATGTTCTGCGGCAGACTCCGTGGGTCACATGGACGGCGATGTCAAACCCTTCTTATCAAACACTCCCTTTACTCTACAACAACATCACCACCATCATCAAGCAGGCTGGTATCAGCCCGAGTTAATTCCTTGCGAGTGGCAGTCACTGCAGAACAAGCGTCATAGGCGAAACCTCAGACGCGTGAGCTCCGATGTCCATCGTGATTCGGACTCGGATTCTCCTGGCGCCACGATCAGGTGGACGGCACTTCGACTTGGGCAAAAGGATCTTTTACGGACTTACTATGAGAAAGCATTTGAGAATTTCCAACAGCTTAACTGCAGAGCAATTGCAAAGGCCTTCGTCAAACTGGTCGAGCCCCGCAAGCAAGTCAACCACCCATACAATGGACGAAAGACCACTGCAGGGTCGTCTCAGCGAGTAGATCCAGAATTAACGAAGCCAAAATGGTGGCCTACGGGTGTCACACATAGGGAGCCCGATCATCTTCTGAAAGCTGGTAGGACATACTCGTTCCAGGCGCTCTCATCGAAAGCACCATGCTGATTCTCAGTCCACTTATGCAGAGCGAATTCGGCTTCTTGTACATATTTTGTGCGAGTTGAAAGACAGCCATGGGATAACGGCAGATAAGCTCAAAGATGCCGGACAAGATGTACGGCGACAGATCATGCCGGCAGAGCGTTTACGGGTATTGGATGAGATTTACTATGTTCGAGAGATGGAAGAGCTCTACCTAGATGGCAAAATCAGTATGGTTCCCTTGGCATGCTTCGTTACTAGAAGGTTTGGCAAGACTAACCACTGAGGCAGGCGGCGACACTATTATCCACGTCTCCCATGTCCACCTGGCTGAAGCCGGTACTGACTCCGAGTTGCACGAGAATTCACCCAGCGACTACTCCAATCAACTGGTTAATCCTGCTGTCAAGTCTAAGCGAGATGCTTCCAACATGTCCGAGAGTCATAAGCCAGGCTACGAGAGCGATGTACATCCCTCCACCGAGCACAACCAGCCAGTAAGACAACCGCTGGGTCAAATCTCCTGTGCTCCTTTATCCCCACTTTCAACTCCCTCTATTAGTCGAAAGAGTTCCTTGGAGAGTAGCTTAACGACATATTCTTCTGACCTGACTTCGTCTATGTTGTCGTCCAATGAGGCCAATCGAGTATATGCATCGAAAGACATCAATGCTACCGGGTCGTGTATTCCAGGTTATTTTGCCCAACATATCTCTCCACAGACTACTGGACAAAATACTCAGACCGGATTTTGGAACAATATCCCTCAGGGGCATCAGTCGCTTGCGTTTCAAGGATACTAATGAAGTTAATGGGACTATTTGTTGATTCCGAATAGTGGAAACATTTGACGGATACAAACCCATAGTGCGACCTCTCATCGCGCTCTTTCTTATCTTTTTCTTTTCTTTCTCTTTATTGGATAGATACCAATGTACACTTAAGGCACATAAATAAGTATAAGTGCGTCACTAGGCGAACATGACAAATAAAATCTCAAGAGAATCAAACATGTTCCTATTTTCCTTTTATCTTTCTAAGCTTCTCACTCCCACCCCCTAACTAGCCAACTACCAGTACTGGTTACTCGCTTTTTGTGCACTATAGTGAAGGAAATCAGGAACTTCAATCCAATGTGAATTCAGCAGTTTTGCTCCTGTAAACATAGAATGAATCATGATAGCAACTACCATAGTAGAACTCTGCATCGCAAAATACTAGACAACAGCGCTAATTGCACATGAAGATACATCGAAAGCAGAGCTATCCTAGCAAAAACAAGCTGTTCCACAGAAGCCGTAAGCACTGTCTCCTAAACGCCGCTATAAGTACTCATGAGTGATAAATATAACCGCATTCTTATTATAATGGCCATGTTTGCAAGCTGGGAAACTACTGGTTTACGGTCAACCAGCAGTCCAAGGTCTTCCTTCATCGTCCACAGCACATCCGTACCGCTAAACCGAGTGGGTGCATTCCGCACAGGCTAGCCATGCGGGTGGTAGAACATATTAAGATGCCGATATCCTTTTATCCCCCTCAGTGCATCCCTTACTGGCTCTAAGGCCATCTCGGCTCGAACGTCCCAGTGCCCGGCCTGCTCGGCCTGCCCGACGACAGCGACTCGATAGCGTATGAGGAAAAGGAGGGTAATATACTTCAATGCCCTGACATCAGTCGTAATACTATGCGAGATTCTCTCCAATTCCTGTGGGATCACAATGTGTATTGTGGTGAGACATTCTAACTGTCGACGAATGGCAACTACGTTGGTAACATGACAGGTGAGGCGCCGAAGCTCTATCGGGCGGTAGGCGAAGTGTTTTATATTCAGCCTAAGGTCGGGTGGAAGTTTCATAGGCCAAGGGCTTGCGAACATGAAGACAAAGTAGGAGAATAGAGCCCGTTTGGCTACCCAGGCGCACACTTTGTCTGCGAGCCTGAGATTGTAATAAGTTGACTCTGGGTCCCTCCAGACGACCTTCTTCGCTTGGCCGTAATCTAAGTAGATTATTGGATGGTCGAGCCATTCGGCGTGAGGAGGTGTCATAGCAAGAATGAAAATGACATAGCAAACATTCAGTGGGAGGCTGTGGATTGTTCTGTTGGGTGACATCTGGACGATTGTTTTAGCGAGATTGGTGTGTATGAAGTGAACGGATTGATTCTAAGTGATACAACGGTAGAGGATACGATAGTATTTAGGAGGGGATGGTGGATGATAGAAGATTCATATTCGTGGTGTGATCAAACATGAAACCGGAATATATAGTATTTGTGACTGAATATGGAAGGGGCAATGTTATTATTGACTCTAATGTTAAGATGCTTCCCCTAGAGTGTGAGCACCTTTCTGTATTAAGTTGCTCACATTGTAGGTATATGCAACATACGAATACATCGGTTGGACTAGCTGAGCTTGGCAGCTTTCTCCATGTCCTCTCGCGTAAGAATATCCCCAGACTTTCGGAGAGGACTTAGTCGCCCCATTTTCCGCAACTGGGCGATAAGACGTTCATCGCCAAAGTGGCTGTTATGTTCGAACTCCGGCTCTTCTGCGTATGCGACCCGCGCAACATCCACAAGCATTCGAGCCGTCATTCCAAAAACCCGATAACGTGTCAGCACACCGGGCTTTTCCGTTTCGTTCAGAGCATTGACAGCATCTTTTTGTCGTTGGTTGGCAGTGCGAGGTTTGACCACTGACTGAGGCCGAACAGGAACGAAGAATTGATGCACTGCCTAGTCAGTAACGGCAAACCGACAGAGAAAGAGGAGGATATCTTTCAGGGGCGGTATGCTCACTGCGCCAATTTGACTGGTGCCACTCCGTCCAAGCACCTTGATACCAATCCGATGGACTTCCACCCCAGTCACCCTCATCGCTCATGCGTAAGAAATTGTGAAATGGCGCCGTGAACACTGCCGCAACTTCCCTGGCATCCAATTTCGGGATTAATGTCACTTCAGGGTCAGCATTCTGACCGGTCTTCTCATCATAGGAGTGGAGTAGTGCCACACATGGGCGGACCACAAGCTCTGTTCTCGCAAGATTAGCCGGCAATTCGCAGAGATGCTCCACGACAAAGGGCTGAGGGAGCGACTGGTCATTATCTGGCAAACCAATCTCTTCGTGCGCCTCGCGTCGTGCTGTTTGAAATGGTGTTTCCTCTAGTGAGTCGGCCCTACCTGATATGATAGGTGTTGATTTAGTGATACATGTCGTTGGTCATTGTGTTCAGGCTTGCTTACCACCAGGTAACGCCGCTTGACCAGCGTCTATATACAACATAAGTCAGTATTTTGATGTTTCGATCTATTTCATTAGGTTCCCATCGTGGGATAAGCCAAGTCTGTGGATGACTTACACGAACTCAGAGTCTTTGCCCGCATTGTAAGAACTACCCGGAGATCCCCCTTAGGATCCGCATACAGCAGCAGCAAAACCGCCGCTCGTCGTGACAACGGGACCATCCCATAATTGGTTGGTGGAGGCTTGTACGATCTTAACCGATCAATCGCATCCTGTTGGCATGAAGGGGAAACCGTTGTTAGCCCGAATACGTCATCCCTTCGGTAGATTGATTATGCGGGGAAACAAAACAGGGGTACAGAATATGTACGTGGATGATGATCACACATGGATATCATAGGAATTAATACAATACAGAAGACAAGCGTTATGGAATTAATTCAGCCCGTCTTCTTTCTGCATTAAAATGGAACGACGGGGTCTTGAATGGTCTGCCATACCTGTGAGACGGCATTCAGACGTGGCATTTTCTGTACGTGGCTTGGGCGTTGAGTGCTAAAAGTGCGAGGTCCCAGGATGATCCGAGTGATTGTTTGACTTCGCATGGCAGAAGCGATCGATTTTGATACTAGTTCTATATGAACTAGCTTGCGCTGAGGGTCGGTATTATGCTAGTGAAGATGATCCGTCAACATACTACGATTGCCGAGGTTAGTGGAGAATCGATGGTCAGCAGCCGATGGATGCAAATGACCTCGTCTGCTGTTCCGTCGCAACACTGTGGCATACTATTCATACTGCTTCATGATTCCAGAAAGCACAACTAAACGATACTGTCTGGTCTATGAGTATATTGTGCACCAGCCTTGTTTAGGCTACACCCTTTTGTTCGAAACACAGGCACATCAAAGCAAGTATATTCCACATGATGCCTAGGATGTCTATTGAGCTAGACATCACTAAATAATGATAAAATGGTACATATAATATGACAAAGGGCAGATAAGAACTAACCGCAGAGGCCAGTGGACCATGATCAAGCAGATTAAACAAGAAAGTAGTCTATCGTATCAAAAATAACACAAACAAGAAGAAGAGTGGGAGGGAGAGCAGATGGAGGAAAGTCTATGTCATGCCGTGTAAATCCGGTGAGTCCTTAAGCGGAGGTCGTCTCCTTTTTTCCTTCCTTGGCCTGGGTCGATGAGTCTCTCAACTGCGCTTCCTCTACTTTTTCGCCCTCGGCCACAGCCTCGGCTGCCTCACCGGATTGGCCCTGATACTTGGCTTCGATGGTGACATCCTCCTTATCATCAATATCCTCATGATCCTTAGGCGCGGCGACGCCCTTCTCCTCGTTCTCGCTGTTCTGCTCGTTCTCCTCCTCAATGAGCTCTTGCTGCTCCTTGATGACCTCAAGACGCTGCTTGTTCGTGGCGGCACCCTCGGCGTTGTGCACCTCGAGTTCAATTTCATGGAACAGCTCCTCGGGAATGCTGGACAGCACCGACTGAAGAGCTTCGATCTGAGATGACATCTCGGTCTCTTTACCACCCTGCGCGTAAACATATGCGTTGCTCAGAACAAGAAGCGTAGATGGGACGCCTTGCTTGAGACGAAGGTCGAGCCATGTAGAGATATCATCGCGCAGACGAGCAGGGGAAACACCATGAGTGCGAATACCACGAGAGGCGCATGCCATCTGCAACTCTGGCACAGAAAGAGATTCAACCCCCTCATAGAAGATAGCGCGGTCATCGCGCTTGATCTGCCGCATGCGGTGTCGGATGTTGTAACGGAGCATGGCATCGGTGCCGAACGAATTCAGGTTCATATACTTGCAGATACCAACCAACTGAGGCCGAGACAAGTTGTCCAAAGTCAGGTCATCCTTGAAAACCTTGCAAACTTTGATAACATCCTCGGTCGAGGGTGCTTCTCCGGTTGTCCTAATTTTCTTGAAGAATTCTGCGAATTCCTCATTTTTGACAGTAGCAGCAGTCACAGGAAGACCACTCTCCCTGAGTGTATCTTTCAAGAAGGCAGAAACCTCTTTCCGTGTAGAGCTCAGGCTCAGTGCCTTCTTCTCGCGAGCTTTCTGTCCCTCGTACGTGCTCGGCAGCATATTAGGGAACAGCTTGAGAGCCACAGGGAGTAGCAACTCCGCAAAAGGGATTATCACAAACATAGAGAATGGAACCAGGCGGCCAAGATCCTTCACCGTTCGTTGGAGCTAAATGCATTGAGCAATTAGCATGGCCAAGCATGAAAGTAGAGGCAAGAGGATGGGGAGCGAACCTGTCGGTGTTCTCTTCTGCTCAGCTCATAGCCCGCTGCCATCTTCAATGCTAGTCTGGAACTAATTTTAACTTCCGTGGCCAAAAGCTTGGTGCCATCCCAATAGTGCTGGGCTTCCTTCTTGATCTTTTGCCCAATCGTCAATTTCTTTTGCTCCTTCTTCTCCTCAGCAGCCTCCTTCACTGCTCCTGCGTCACTTGACTTATCTTTGCTGCTCTGAGCATTGCTCTTCGGGGTAACTGGTAATTCGGGTTTAGGAACAACTTGTTGGTCATTTTTAGCAGGCTCTGGGACGATGGGCTTTTTCGCTTGCGCGGCGTTGAAGCCGGGCGGAGGAAAGCTCGATGAGGACGAGGTAGAAGTTGATTGCTCTGTAGCGTACCCACGGTGAGGGACCAGAATTGCTAAGGCTTGTATGTGAGATGGGAGGCCTCGGCCATTGATCCGGAGATTGGCGGCTGAAGGTGCGCCCAATGCACCCGTGAGGCGTGGCCGGGCTGATTAAGAATAAATGTTAGCCATAAAAAGGTGACCCTCCCAGCAAGCAATACCAGGACGTAGAAGCAACGCAGGTAGTAGCGACACAAGCGTACCGATCAAACTGGGGCGCAATGCAGCATTGTTGCGCACAAGTCTAGCCGATCTAATGCTGACAGACATAACGGAAGGCGTTGGAAAGGAGGTGCTCCAAAGAGCAAGTGAGTATAAAATGCAGGGACAACAATTTCGACCAAAATGATACAGCAAGTTATATGATTTCACACAAGGCAGATAACACAAATGGAACTGGCACGAAGATCTAAGGAGTGATGATGTGTCTTCGTTCTCCCCAAGTTCTGGAGTCCAGAAGCGGTCGTTCACGTGACTGCGATACTCGGAGTTTACATTTTGTCGCCGCCGGAGTTTATCTCATCAGTCGTCGGGGTCGCAATAAGCTTTGCCGATTTCCTCGGCGGCAACAAACTACCGGGACCGACTACTACTAGTAGTAGTAAATGCCTCACCAAAACCAGAGAGGGACTTAATGAAAAGCAGAAAAAGAAAATATTATTCATCGCTCTATGGCAATATATAATAAGAAAGAATAACACATGCGGCTTCAGCTATGAGGTAAAGGCGTATCTGTATATGAAAAGCGTGTCTCGTGAAACACGATGGCAAAGAACGACGGGTTAGTGAGTTGGGTATCATTTAATTCAAGATTGCACATGTAGTAGAATTCGCAAGTTGGTCAAAAAGGGGGGAAACGCTAGCGACAACATCTAAAGGAGTAATTCGAACTGAGAGCCTATTTTCTCTCGCGCACTGTTGGGGAACCGGAAGCAGCCTCCTCAATGCCGCTCGCGGTCACGCTAGAGTCAAGCAGAGGAATTTTATCAATGCTTGCCTTGTCGGATCCTCCATTCTTTGCAATATCGTTAGAATCGTCCATGATATGCGCCCCAGTGGCAACAGCGCTGTCTGATGTCAGAATAGTCGGACTAGCTGTGCCTTCAGGAGAAGACTGCCAACGTGCAACATCCTTTTTCAACGCTTCCAGTTCTTTCTGAAACCGCTTGCCAAAAACATCAATGTAGTAGGTTGCGCCGTTGTGGATGCTCAAAATGAAAAGGGCAGTCAGGAAAAGGCCGCTAGCCCAGCGGGACCATAGCCAAAGCGGACATGGGATCATCGTTAAAATCGCATAGAAGTATTGGATCAGCATAAAGGCGGGAGCCTGTAACGATTCGGGCAGGCTTAAAACTATTTTACCAATCCAGGCCTTTGCATATGATTTGCGGAGCCATGTAAAGCTTGTCGGGCGTCCTGCGGCAATCTGCTCGGCACGCCGCACGGTGATAAAGCAATGATAGGATAACTGCCATATCGTATAGGGTACTGTCGCCCAGACCACCATAGACAGGAGCGAAAAGTGGTCCGGCGACCCGGGCTCACTGAATTTGATGTCGTAGATCGCTGGGAACCTCTCCTTCAAGGTCTCCGCAGAAGTCAAGTGAACAAGACAATGCCAAGCTGCCGGTGGCATAATATGAATGAACAGACTGTGATACCAGTCAGTTAACATGATAGTACTCGGGAGGTGTAGGGGCATGACTTACCTCACAACCTTGTCCATACTATGAAACACGAGGGAGTTCCGCCACATAGCAATCGCGACAGCGTTGTTTCCGAAAGTCAAACAGTACGCGCTGATGAAGAGTCTCTTGGAATTTGGGAAAACCCAGATACTCAGCATGCATAACAGGTTGACGAAATAGCAGAGGTCAGCCAAAAAGTAATGATACCCTTTCGCGTGGTATCTATAGTATCGAATCGGCATGAAGTAGGCCAGCTGTATGGTGAACCAGATATAGAAAGACTCCGGATGGGCTCCAATGAGGTAGCCACTGAAAAAAATGTTGAGGACACCGGCAATAAACGAGATCTTCTCGCGTAATGTAACCGTCGCGGTTGCGTTCCACTGCTTCCCCAGACGCTCAACACCGACCTTCATACGGCGGCGATACTTGTCAAGCTGCTCGTCTGCAGTAGGAACGCGTCTTTTCCATTCTCCCACCACGCGATCCTTTGCGGTTGCGGAGGTTGACTTCAGCTTCTCCCGCTGTTTCTTCATCTTTTCTTTCTGCATATTGATAGTATGCTGTAGCTTTTCGAGTCTTTGGGACAGCGAGAAGTTGTCGAGCAAGTCGAAGACCGTTAACTTGTCCAACGGGGGGAAAGTTTCCCAATCATCCTGATAAGAGAAGGAGGGCCTTCTCGGTGTACCAGACGGCGAATAAAAACTATCGGAGGATCCTGCAACTTCGTCCAAGTCCGACAGCAAGTCATCACTTGGGATCGCATGGAGATCAGGCGAGTCGCCAGTCGAGTAGGAAGCACCGTCCTCCATGATGAGTTTCTGTTGGAAAGAGAATATCGTCGGGCCGTCACGATAGTGAGGATAGGGTCTAGTAAGAAAGCGGGCGAACGTTAGCATCCCCATGATTGTCCACGAGGCGTGATCAGCCAGATCTGATAATCGTAATCAAATATCACAAGCAGATGCTCTGATATCTTCAGAGATGGGCCGTCGAACGTAAGAACTAGTGGGTACCGTATCGATCTATGAAAGACCGATATAAATAATTAAGTACTTACTCAGGCGAGCGCAGTAGATAGGTTGGTTCCAAACTTTCGATACACACGCAAATGATCCAAGTCCTCCAGTCTCCTTCAACGATCCAAGCGCATGACCCCCGGTAGAACTATACAAGTGACCAAAAGTCACAGAGTGTGGGGAGAAAAACGAGAAGAGGGAAGATGTTGAGGACAAGTTGAAAGTTGAGGTTCTGCGTGTGCACGCGTCGTAGGCTATGGTTGGCCAGTGCTGAGTGGCCGCGTTTCTTTGGCTCTTCTGGACCCCAGCGGCGGGATCTGCACTCGACATGGGGCCTTATCCCCAAGGAACCAATGAAACCTGAGAATCCAGGTGCATGATCCCGCAGGGTTTCCAATCAATTTCTAGACCGGGAGCGGTCTAGATGATGAAAGCGTTGTCCCCCAACATTTACCATGGATACAACTCAAAGACATCCAAGAAGAAACAAGACAACATCCGTGGTCGAGAATTACTAGCTAGTGAAAGAAAAGAAGAAGGGAAAAAATGAGGAGGTGGCTAACATCCAAAATACCAGCGCCCTATATCATGCGGCTGGTAAGAGCAAATCCATATCTCTCCGACGTGATAAAGGGCAAATTAGACAATAGCTTTTGCAGGTGCCCTGATCCCCTTTGTCTTAAACTTCGCTAATCCTCCTAGGACAAATAAGCAGACAATATCATAATCGTCAGAAGTACTCTAATGCCGGTCAAGCCCTTCTTCATACATAAAGGGTGGTAATTGGTATATATTTTATCCCGTGCGCCGTCCAAAATTTAGATATCATTTTGTCACTTAAGCTGTGTGAGGTAATTATTCGACATGTAAACAGTGAAACTCGTTAAATATGTAAGATAGTGGAATACTCTATTTACTATCATAAGCTCAAGTAACAGATTCGTAATTAAATTTTAGTATCAGAGACCTAGGTTCATCGTTTGGAAATCCGTCACCTATACCGGGTATTCCCTATTCTTGATATATTCAGAGCGATACTGATCCAGTCTCTACAATATGCCAAGAAGCCCACTTGGGCTGGAAGAGATACTCTATCATTCAAGATAGAGTCCTAAGTGTCCGAGATGCTTGTATATCGTGATATATACTAGGAACGTAACCCTTGGCACATATGGGCTTTCCGAGCCGCCATTTTGGCCAGACCCATTGCTATATCGGTATACCAGATGCTCGGGAAGACTGAAGCACAAATTGAGAAGCGAGGAGCACTACTGTGAAAGTATGCCAAACGAATCTCGACATAAGTAACTAATCTCACGTCATCTTGGATTGCGTGTTCAATTGTGGATGCCCTATTCCCGCCTCTCGCCGTCACAGGCTGGCGCTGACCGAGCCACCAGGCTACTTAGAAGCTTCGAGCTGGCGGCTATTGCTAAGAGTAGAGAAGTATACTAGTAGAGTGATCACGATGTACGCTGCTGTCGCTCGGATTGTAGAAGTTGACTTTTGATGTGCCACCTATCCTCACAAGCTGTTTGCAGATTCAACATTCCTGCCCGATTACCTATGTCAGCTATACTGCAGTTGCCTTCTTACATGGTACTCAGATAGAAGCCTCAGCTTGCAGAATGTGGTACAAATAACTAGCTTTATGTTATTATATCCGGAAAGCCCTCTGGAAAACTCATCAAGATACAAGGTGGCCGGTGTATCTTTTACGGGCGGCCCATCGCTTTTTCTCCAATAGTCTACCGAGAAGATCGTGCTTCTCGTCTCTAGAGACCACAATTTCTCCAGAAAATATTGAGATCAACAGGGATTGATTTTTCTTTTAGCCAACCACACATTTTCCAGACATACTTAGTCGAGTGCCCGTTACGTGAGGTAAAGAATAAAGAGTATCTCAATATCACTCGACATGCAGTGATCCCATGTAGCGGATAGTGTCTTGAGAGTAGAGTAAAACCTCCTTAACCCGTCCGTCGCTGATCCTATTTTGGTTGTTCCCTTTGTTACCTAGTTGTTCCAAGGAAAGTTAACAAAGGCGTCTAACCCTTCGGCCACACGTGGCTGTACCATGCGGTCTCGGATCTTTTCCCCGTTAGCCACCCCTTGGGAGCTTGCACTTGCACTGTCTCAACTATTCAGTGCATGGTACTCCGTAGTTGATGTAAGCATTAGAGGCCAAATGCCTCGTCCCACTAGCCGGACATTGGGAAAGATAGGGTGTTCTTGTCTAAGCTCTGGTCACTGTTAAACCGTCTTCCACAACGGTCCGGACTCGAGTTTGTGAATTATAAACCCCAGTATGCCCTTTACGATGCGATTTATGCAGCGACACTAGTAGTAACTCAAGCCCCGGCTCTCATTCTTTTCTTCTAACGACTTTCCAGCTGGTAGTATTCCTTCCTAGTGGATTACTGCAAATTACGCAGCAGATTGGGGAGCTAATCAATCAAGAAGAGCGATATACAGTCTATAGCACCAGGTATCAATTATCGATTGGTACGAAGCATAAGGCGGTCGTGTTGCTAGCTATATGTCCAGGAGGATGCATTCCGGAGGGATGCATGCGAGGACGACGTACTGTACGTAGGGAGGATTTGTTAGGCCAAACTCTATCGCCACGTTTCTGGTCACCAACAACAAACTATCAAAGCATTTCATGAAAGAAGCGTCGCTGGTTGGACCCATTGTGCTACTAGTACTACTGACGGAGACTCCTGATTATTGGATATATCTGGGGCCTAGAAGCCCAACCAATAGTCATTTACCTTTTTTTTTTTTTGGCATTTGCTGAGTGGTTATCCTACTAAAAGCTAACAAGACCGTTTAGACTCTTCTCCATGAGTTATTAGCTGCGTCTCAACATAAGAAAAGGAACTAGTACCGTGCATGCACACAGCAACCTTTTGTATTATATGGTTGGGACGGGTTGAGAGTTAGTTTCTAGGTGGATAGGGTAGTCTGACCAGAATTGGGTATGGTAGTTCCCAAGCCCCTTGACCTACTATGCATGTTTTAGAACGGGGACTTTATTTATCATTTTATGATCCGATTCTCCGATCTAAAACATTCTCAGGGTGACAGGTTGGACCTCAGAACGCAAGTTTACTATTAGTAACTCCGGGCCTATCTCCTATTCCGCTTCGCGGGGGCATCCCTTGCCCCCTGTCGGAAGCCTGGGATAGCACGAGCAAGTCAGCTGTTCTCAAGAAAAGCGAAACCGTGCTCAGCTTATCAAGGGCTGATCGAGCCCTAACTCAAAATATGTCCGAACCACGGTCGGGATCCGGTCAGTCTCTTTCAGCCGCTCCAAGCGGCCTTAATGAACGGGGTTTGCTTGCAGCACAGGGATACCCAGAAGACTGGGATGACCTCTAAGGTATCCTGGGTAGTACAGATGTGATTACGCGAGCGACACGGGAACTAATGACTGAAAGGCTGGGAATCAGACACGAGCATGCACCATGGGGTATAGCTACTACCATCACAGCGGGTCTGGTGTAGGGATAGAGGAACCATTCCAGGGAGATCCCAGAAACTACTATACTAGTGTCCGGTCTAGTCACATAGGTAGGCTATAGCTTGCTAAGCCTGCGCGGATATGCCTCAAGTCTCGTTCATTGTGAACAAATCGGGTAAGGCCCAGAAGACAATTTGTCTTTGAATAATGGAAGAATGTGTCCATATCCTTGAGTTGCCATGTGTGAGGCACTCGGTACCACCGCCTCTAGCGTGTGCATGCAAAATATTTGCTCACAGGAGGTGTGATGTGTTCTGCATTTCCTCAAGTTCCTTTTATTTTATTTATCTTTTTTTTACCTCTCTGATGCCATGCGCCCGCTTGTGCCCTGAGTAATGATGTTTCGTGAAATTCCCCATTTGGGAACAAAACTCAGCTATTTATGGAAAATCTCGGGAATGAGCTTCTTGTGTTTGACTAAATCCGTAGCCTTCCACCAAGTAATCTTTATCCATAACTTCAAGCTTAATCCAGTTCATTGTGAAAAATGGTCAGGCCCGGGGCACTTCAGCTCCGAGCGGGCGTTTTTCTAGCTCGAGGTGCTACCTGAAGAGCCGAGAATAACTAACCAAGCTGGATTACGTTTTGATAATGCGCAAAACGTAGCAATAATTGGGTTATGATATAGTGTCGAGTACTACAAAACCTTTTGCTGCATGTAACGGGTACTACCATCACAGTGAACAAATAGGTACTAGTCTACTAAGTTCAGCCATAGTCAATTCACGCTTTGTACTACTGAATAGGTGTTCTACCAACATGAGGGGCAATAAGGATTTCCTTGTTACACAAGGAAAAGAAAAAGTTGAGCTATTTGAATAAGGAACATGTAATAATCGGAGGACATAAGGCATTAGAGGTGACGGTTAGGGTTGTCCGAATTAGCGTGGTACGATATCCGGGCCTAGCTCCAAGTCCTTGGAATCAGGAAGAGAGTTTTTGAGGTACACATGGAGTAAAAATGGAAGAGGGGTTCTCTTTCTTGTTTTACACCGTCATATCTTGTTCCTGTACGATGACACTGTCAGTGGAAGTTTAATTTCGAGAGAGGATTTAAGCGGTGCTCACCGCAAGACGCTAAATGTGATAGATCCAACTGTGTGGGTGTCATGAATACAGTGTTCTGTGGCGGACGAAGACTCTAGGCGTATATGGACCAGCGCAACCCAGATATATAGCCATTTTAAAGTTGAGCCTGTTGAGGAAAATAGGAATAGGAAAAAGAAAAGTGAGGACACGCGGATACGATTCCTATCCGTCCTCGCATTCGTCGCTAGTATCGGGCGAAAAGACTACTAGGAATGTGGCGGCTCATGGCATAGAATGTTTTCTTTGTTGTGGAGAATTGAACACATGGAGAATCTAACGCGATCGAGCGCTGGTACAAAAGTTTAGTGGCCTTCAACTTCCTTCGAGTTCATACCGGTTGCTGACGGTGCAGTGACGCTCCACTCATTTGGATCGGCCTCAAGGGAGTTGCGGTGTCAAGGACGATGATCCCCTAAAGTGTGGGGACTGGGCACCACGGTAGGTACCGGATCCACCTGCTCAGTGCGGTATTGTCCTACCTAAGGACGATTTCCTTGCTGCGCTGCGGGCATGACCTTCCAAGTCTACCTTTTCGGATATATTTCAGCGCTATACTTATACTTTCAACCCTTTCTAGATGCCACATAACCTCTATCTACTAGTCTAGTAATGAGTTTATTTCCCGTGTTCCAGAAATTATGCTTCTGGGACGAACTCTTTCGTCATCTATTAATTACGATAGTCGATTTGGCGGTTGAGATCGGTGCAGGTGCCGCAAAACCAGAGTATCCCTTGCATGGGTGTGTCACCCTGTCGTCGGTCCATGAGGTTATTGTTGCCCATGATGACCACGACCATAGCGATCCTGCAGGAGACCCACGACCAGACCACCGCACTTTGGATGAGTCTCTTATTTCTTGGGCTGCCATTTTCGGATATTTCTATCTAGGGATGTGGGTAATAATACTAGAGTATTATTATGATTCCCCAACTGGCTGCCTCGTTTAGCTGCATCCTCCACCCCTTTATATCACACTATCTCTAATTTCGTTGTCGGTTGTTTGATTCTATTTCTTCTTATCTTCACCCCCAGGTCTCACTCATTTTATTTGTTTCCTATTTATTTCTTAAAGAAAGATGGTCCCGCGTGGTCCACTGTTGGGAATTCCTCTGCAGGCCAGGATTAGGGCTCAAGCCACAAGCTGACTTTGCGGGGACAGGGGTCTTGTGACCGTCATCCTGGACGCAGTTAAGAATAAATAATATTGAGCTTTGGAGTTTGGAAGCCTAGTACGGCGCTATCAGGCATAATCTCGCCTTATTCGATATCCCAAGTGACACAGGAGTGGTTACTTGCTTCTTGGACTATTTGCTTATTATCAACACGTCTTTCTCGCACCGCTGTTCTGCCCCGATCATCTCCCCTCTTTCCTCGGGGAAGGGACAAATAGAACATTCCTCTCCATCACGAACACCATTTAAATATAGCTCTCAGCCATGCTTTCACCGAACTCTCTCGCTGTCCCAAGACAGGCTCCTCCAGTGAGACCATCTCGATCACTCGAGGGACTAGAGAAAGTCGTGCCTCCACATCCACCTCAGCCTGCTGCTCGGTCAGCACTTCGTTTGGATAAGCCTCTCCCCGAGCTGCCTGCGAAACCACTACCCGATACACCCTCGATGGAGAGTTCAACGGGATGGAGCGACGACAGCAGCACAGATGTCAGCTTTGAAACTCGTCGTACATCTGATGCGTCATCAGAAGGCTACCCAGTTTGTGTTCGTTCACCCTCGGATAATCTGGACGAATTCGTCGAACATTCTCCTATCTCTAGTATAGATCGCTCTTCCCCCGTGAAGCCTTATAACAAACCAGAACCATCGCCTCTGATGCTCACCACATTGTGTGATGATAATCACCGCCATCGGCCTTTACCGACGGCAACTCGTGCCGTTCCTAATCATTATTTTAGAGAGAAAAAGTGGGAGTTCTTTCCAGAGCTTGCGATGCCATCAGAACTGCCACCTGGGTATCCCAAGTTTCCACCTGCGCCTCGGAAGCAGAACAGCAGTCGGCTGAACCTAGCAGCGTTCGACTTTACGAAGATAAGTCCCCGCTGTACTTCGCCTGACAAGCGAGCACTTGCCCATGATGTACGCAAATCTATCCGCTCCTATGTACAACGAAGGCTATCCAAGAACTCCATTGATAAGACCAAGCCCAAGCGACGATCACGAGCGTCGACAGCTCCCTCTGAGTTTCCTGAAGAATATCGATGCTCCCGGAAGACTTCTTCGAGCAACTACTCTAACTATTCTGATCGTGGAAGCACAGGGCCGCAGCAGAACTTTCTCTACCTCTCTGCCGACCTGAAGCGGCTCTCGATGAGCAGCAGTTCAAGTGAGGACGAAAGTGACAGAACAGTGAACTCGATAACACCCTATCAGAAGAAACAGCCAGTCGTTCGCATTTCAGCTTACCAAAGGTATGGACCAGCCACGCGGGAGAAGCCCGGACGTGAAAAGAGGATCAGTTATCGGCAAAAGGGCAATGTAAGATTTCCGAAATATCGGAAACAACCCACAACCTTTCGGTATGAAACATCTTCGAAGACCGGCCAATCAACATGCTCTACACTACAGCAAGGCACTCGATTCTGCGTGAGAGTGTTGCAGGATGGAACGAGTCATGTCCTAATAGCGCTGGATGGAGCGAGACAGAAGATAATTCAGGCTCAAGTCGATCGAAGACGAAGACAATTGAAATCCAAGATCAGATTAATTGGTCCGGTCAATCCATACACTACCTATGGTCGGGTTGATCCCTGGATATGACTGTGCATAACTAGTGGCATTGGCAGATCAGTCGTCATACTACATCTTGTATCATCTGCATCGTTGATCCACTTTATGGCCCGTCTCACCTTCTATCTTTATCTGCCCCTCCGCTCTTTCTTTCATCCTTCTTATTTTATTTTCCCCCCCTTCCTTTGCCCCCATTCCTTCTGAATTTCCCTGTACACTTTCCATATTCTTATTCTCGATATCCCGGAGGTAGTTACGCTAGGCGTTATGGTTAGATTCCTGGGGGGAATTGATTGTTTATGTGCATGACATTCGATACATCCTTACTATTGTTGCGCGAGTTATGATAAATTTGCATGAACACTAGCGATTTGCTCTTTTGTTGACTGAATGTGATGGGGCACTTGGGGCCTCCGAACAGGTTTGGATAGCTTTTAAGTCTGGGAATCCGGGCAGAGCTAGGAAAGGTAGGATTGTTAGTAATATTAGTCTTCCTCTATAAGTGTCTTAAGTTCTTATTTTGTACTTGTGCCCATAGGATATTTGAACCCAAGAAGGCCTGAATATCGGTGATATATCATGTGTAGGTGCTGGCTCTTGGCTCCAATGGGCACATTCCATGCTCATCCGGATTGGAGGCTTCCCCGCCATGGCCAGGTCACAGGATTTCTCCGCATTTACGTAGTAGCTGGAATGCAAACAGCGTCACCTGCTGTTTCGTTCCTGGATCCCACCCCGGAAGTGATTTAGCTCTTTGCCTTTCCTTCCCCCCTCCACTCCTCCTCTTGCTGTCTCTCTCAATTGACACACTCTCTGACATCCATCCTCTATCCCTGCTCTGATGCAGACATCATCACTCTCCGATATCCTGATAAGCTTAATCATTACCCACAATTGATCGGAGCCGTTATCATGGGTGGAGACGTTCCGCGACAAGCTTCTAGCTCTCTCCCCCGAGCTCCAAGCGGGCCCGTCGGTCAACGCATCCATGGCATCTATACAGATCGTTTGAGACAGTTTACAGCTAACGGCCAGTACGAGGCACAGAATCTCGTTTCGTATGTAAACATATTCGCTAGTCATGCCACATTAGTACATACATCTAATGCCCTACAGTAAATTCTATGAAGCCGTGAACTCCGACAAAGACCACGTTAAGCTCTCCGTATACTCGGTCCCGAATTTAGAGCGCCCTACGTTTGAAGAGGCAACCTCACATAACTTCAAACCAACACATATCGGTGCTTCATTTGGTCCTAGTTGGTCTACTCACTGGTTCCGCATCCACCTGACGGTCCCGGAGGACTTACGTCAAAAAGAGCGACTGGAGTTTCATTGGGATGCGAACAATGAGGGTTTAGTCTGGACCGAAGATGGTCACCCGCTACAAGGCCTCACTGGTGGCGGGGAGCGCATCGAGTGGATCATCCCTGACGCCTGGCGCGATGGGAAAGATCACACCTTCTATATTGAAATGGCTTGTAATGGGATGTTTGGAAATGCACCTGGCGGGGATTCGATTCAGCCACCAGCGCCTGATAAATATTTCACCCTGCACAAAGCACAGATCACAGCTGTCAACCTTGAGGCGCGGGCATTGTTCTATGATTTCTGGATAATCGGAGGTATGGAGTTCAAACCTGCATTTTGTTTTATCCTCTCCTCTGTGTCTATTGGCTAGCTGTGCTGACAGACATCATGTAGATGCAGCTCGAGAGTTTCCTGGAGATTCCTGGGAATCCCATGAAGCCAACATGGTAGCTAATGCTATTATGGACGCTTTTATTGCTGGCAATGGGAGCCAAGAATCCATCAAGGAAGGACGTAAGATAGCCAGGAGATACCTCGGTGACAAAGTTGATTCATCGGAGGTGTATGATACCGATACACAACCAATTGTATATGGAATAGGGCATTGCCATATCGATACGTGCTGGTTGTGGCCCTGGGCAGAGACTAAGCGTAAGGTAGCTCGGTCATGGTCAAACCAGTGTGATTTGATGGACAGGTATCCGGAACACCGCTTTACTTGCTCGCAGGCGCAGCAATTCAAATGGCTGAAACAATACTACCCCTCAGTCTTCGACCGCGTGAAGGGATGGATCAAGAAGGGCCACTTCCAACCAATTGGTGGTAGCTGGGTTGAGCATGACACCAACATGCCCAGTGGAGAATCATTGGTGAGACAGTTCCTCTATGGCCAGCGTTTCTTTGAAAGCCATTTTGGTGAGCGTTGTACGACTTTCTGGTTACCCGATACCTTTGGTTACTCGACGCAGATTCCCCAGATCTGCCGTCTAGCTGGCATGAGTCGTTTCTTTACCCAAAAGCTTAGCTGGAACAACATAAATAATTTCCCACACACTACCTTCCAGTGGGTTGCGCTCGATGGTAGCCAAGTTATATGCCATATGGCGCCATCAGAGACGTACACTGCGTCGGCTCACTTCGGCGATGTGAAACGCAGCGTCACACAGCACAAGTCCATGGACAACGATAACACATCGCTTCTTGTGTTCGGAAAGGGTGACGGCGGCGGTGGGCCGACTTTCGAGCATTTGGAGAAGCTGCGCCGCTGCCGTGGCCTGAGTGATAAGACAGGCCTGCTTCCACGAGTAAAAATGGGTGAGTCAGTGGACGACTTCTTCGCAAGACTAGAGAAGAAGGTTGAGAAGGGCACACAATTTGCTACATGGTATGGTGAGCTTTATTTTGAGCTACACCGGGGTACATATACTACCCAAGCAAACAACAAGCGAAATAATCGCAAGTCTGAGTTCTTGCTTCGGGAGATCGAGTATTTGGCCACGCTCGCGTCGGTCTCGCAATCTAGTGGCAATTATCGATATCCCAAGAGGGAGATAGATGATATGTGGGAGGGCGTGCTCCTATGTCAGTTTCACGACTGTCTGCCGGGCAGTTCCATCGAGATGTGCTACGATGACTCTGACAAACTTTATGCCGAGATCTTCGAAACTGGTCAGAAAGTTAGGAGACAAGCCCTTGAGGCTCTTGGACTCGGAGGCAAGAAACCTTCCAAGAGCCTTGTAGCGGTCAACACTTTGCCTTGGCACCGTTCAGAAGTTGTCAAGCTCCCTACTGGGTTCGAAGAAGCAAACCGCCGGAAGTATGCCGTAGTTAGCGGGAAGACGGGTCTCATGGAGTATTGTGCCAACCCAGCCACTTCTACTCGAGTGACCGTGTCGGAGATCCGGCCCGGGGTGTTCCGTCTTGAGAATACAAAGTTGAGGGTTGACATCCACAATGGAGTAATCACATCCCTATTCGATGTTAAGACAGATCGTGAGGTGATCGCGAAGGGCGGCAAGGCTGGGCAGCTGGTCATCTTTGATGATAAGCCGCTTTACTGGCAAGCTTGGGATGTTGAAGTTTTCCATCTGGAGTCAAGGAAGGAGTTGCACTCCAGTAGAACCACCATCGCTGAGAATGACCCATATCGAGCCAGTGTCGTTACTGAAACCCAGATCAGTGAGAACAGCTGGGTTAAGACAACAATCAGTCTTTCTGCCCTTGCCGGGGATGAACCATCATACGTAGAGTTTGAAAGTGAGGTTGAGTGGCAAGAAACTATGAAATTCCTCAAGGTAGAGTTCCCTGTGGACATCACAAATACAGAAGCATCCTATGAGACCCAATATGGGATCATCAAACGACCAACACACTACAACACGAGGTAAGCAAATCGCCGTCCACTATGAAAGTTAGAACCGACTGACTCTTCTAGCTGGGATATGGCCAAATTTGAAGTTTGCTGCCACAAATGGGCCGATCTGTCTGAGAATGGATATGGCGTGTCGGTCTTGAATGACTCCAAATACGGGTTTGCAACCTGTGGCAACCTAATGCGTCTATCTCTGCTCCGAGCACCCAAAGCACCGGATGCGCACGCAGATATGGGCCGTCATCACATACGATATGCGATCCTGCCTCATGCTGGGCCTCTTGATTCGCGCACCATCCGAGCAGGGTACAATTTCAACCATCCACTTGTTCTTGAGTCAGCATTTGGCTCTGAGAACAAGGATATCTTTAACTCTATCTCCATCAGCGGCTCCTCATCGCTCATCTTGGACGTTATTAAGCGTGGGGAAGATGACGAAGATGTCTCCCGAGATAATCTACCCCGCCGCGCAGGAAAGAGCATTATCCTGCGTATTTACGAGTCACTTGGCGGTAAGAGCCGGGGCACTATTCACACTAGGTTGCCTGTCAAGAAGGTCTGGAAGTGCAACGTACTTGAGGATAATGAGACCGCTCTTCCCGTTGCCAAGGGTAAGGAGACCACAGATGTTGGCATTGAGTTAAGGGCGTATGAGGTTGCTACCTACCGTTTGCAACTGTAGTCAAGTGTTTTCGGACGATACGTGTATCATCATCTTTGGAGGTAATTTTGATAAGCTATGCGCTTGATAATACAAAGGATATCTTGATAATATATAAAAGAAAAAGTCCATGCAGATGCTCGTTAGCTGAATCAAAAAGCCAATGCCATAGCGCCTTAAGAGCTCCATCACCGATCCGATCCGTAATCCCATATCTAAAGCAGGATAAACCCAAGCAATCAACTCGAAACTCCCGTTAAAATCGACCGATCAATCCCTTCCGTAGCTGATTTTCAACCTCTTTGCGGGTGGCTTATCTCCCGCCTCGTCATCGTCATCATTCTTATCCTTATTAGCATTTGACTTTTTCTTATTCTTCGACGAAGACGACCCTCCTTTCACACTGCCAGGCGCAGAAGAATCACCATTCGGTTTCCCTGACGATCCATTGACAGATGTAGGAGTTGGGGCATGCGACGGAGTAGTCTGAACAGATGATGGCGTCGAGTCCTTCGCCAATATTAGCCATTGATTCCCGTGGTTTGCTCAAAGACTGCGGCGGCTAAAAGAAAGAACATACCCGCATAAAGCTCGCCGAGCTTCTCGAGAAAACGCGATCGGCATCCGTCACCTGTGCCTTTCTTCTGGCGCCACCTACACCTCCGGAAAGCGCCAATGATCCACCAGTGCCAGCACCGCTAGATGAGCCCTTGATATAGTTATCGAATCCCTTGATGATGTTTCCGGCAGTTGTTTCTTCGAGGTAGGATTGTTCAAAGCGAAAGATTTGATCTTCGAGTTGGGCCTGCATGTCCACCTATGTTAGCGCTGTAATGGGCAAATAAACGGCCTTCTGGACTAGGTGAGGTGTAACAAGCAGCAATGGATTAATCCAATCGGCGGCATACCATGCTCTTATCCATTAATCGCTTCTTCTGCAATGTGTCGCGGAGCTCGCGCCGCAGTTTCTCGTAGTATGGTAGGCCGCGGTTGGCTCCGCCTTGAGCCGATGCTGTTCCATTGCTGTTGTTATTGTTGGAGGCTGTGGATTGATTTGCGGTTGTTGTTGGGCCTGCCGGCGTTGCGGTCGTGTTGGGGACGGAGGGCGGAGGGGCGGATTCCGTCATGCTCGTTGCTTCGCTTTGCGCGCGATGTTCAGAATTCAGTTTACTAAGCAGGTTTGTAAAATTTCTCGTGGCTGGACTTGAGTTGAATTTCCACGGTTCTTCCTGGCAATTGACCTGCTTGATCGATCTAGAACGGGGAAAGAAAGAGGTAAGGTCTGGATTTGGCCGCACGTCTTATCGATGGTGTTTGGCTGGTTTGCATTGCTGAATTGCCGGGCGGTCAGCCAGTCGAACATGTGCGGCGGCCTATCTAGGGAGGAGGAGTTGATGGCGTCAGCAACCCAGTGCTGCTTTTCGTGCTAAATACTTGGGAGCTATCTCTGTGCTATAACTTTGAAATAGTCTCCTATTGGCCTATATAAGAAAATTTGTTCCTTGTTCCGTACTTCCTAAGCTATCAGGCTGACATTATTACAATATGGATCACTCAATGCACCACGCGGGGATGGATATGGACCATGGTCATGGCCATGGGGATATGGATATGGGAGGACAGTGTAATATGAATGTGAGCTTATCATTCATTCTATTGGGATATACTTGGAGTGATCTATGACGGGTCTAACTGAGAACAACGCTAGATGCTCTTTACATGGTCCTCTAAAGACCTTTGCATTATATTCCGCCAGTGGCGTGTCGACGGTCCCTTCTCTCTCCTCGTCTCCTTGGTTGTCATCGTGCTTTTGACGGCGGGTTACGAGGGTATTCGACAATTGACTAGGCGTTATGAGGCAGCGCATGCACAACGGTTGAATGCGTTCAATACGCCTGCTGTGGGAGGTAAGTTTTATATTTTATCTATTGCTTCTACTATGCGATATACAATCATTTCGAGGAGAGAATCTGTCAGGGGGCTTGGTTGAGTCAGATTCCATTGACACCTTGAAGGCAATGAGAACGTCGGCGAATCTGCCCCGGTCATCGCCCCTTCAAGCTATGCTCCTCATTCCTGCGACGAAAGCTCACCGCTACTTGTAGGTAGGGATAACAGGAGGGTTGTGGAGCAGCGGGGAAAGCTCATCATGGCCGCATTATATGCTGTGCAGGTTTTCTATAGTTTCTTTATCATGTGAGCTCGAACCCCTTCTGGTGACAGATCCTCGATCTAAATACTAATTGGTCAGGTTGCTGTTCATGACGTACAATGGGTTGGTCATGGTTGCAGTTGCCGTTGGAGCATTCGTAGGGTATCTTGTGTTCGGAGAGAATATGTCAGCTGCAAAGACCGTTGCTTGCCATTGATCATTCCCTTTCAGATAATTGTTGCGTTTCAGAATTAGTGGAAAGTTTCAAGCTTGGCAAAGCTTAGCGGTGAGCCGCTCGATAGCATATACTGCATATCAGATAATGGTGTCTTTGTATTTCTGACCTGGAGTTGGTCTTGTTCATCAGTCATAATCAAACCTATGGATCAGGGAACCTCCACGTCGCTCCCGTCATCTCCAAATCCAAAACTGAATCCACCTGCTTCAGCTGAGTCTTCAGCACCGTCTTGCTCGGGTTTTCCGTGGACAATTTCATCCCATTTCCGCTTTTTGCCCTCGGCTTTCTTTTTTAACTCATCAAGTGCTTGTTCAAGTAAGTCTGGGTGGGCCTCGCGCATTTTATTCACAAACTGCTCGTAAGGGTTGTGAACATCTTTTCTGAAACCCGAAATTTGATCAGCTTTGTTACTCAGGAAGTCCAAAGCTGCGCTCAAGTGTGCATGTGGGATAAAGTTCTGTGTGATTGCGATGGCTGGTTCGATATTTACCACCAAATGCCACCAACCCGAGGGCACATGCAGAATCTCTCCTTCCTGGCAGATACCTTCGACGCAGCCCGGTGTGCGCCGGGCTTCAGCATGGAAACCTAGAAGCCACTCTGCGATGCTCAGGGGGGATGTCACTTCACTCTGGTCTTCAGAGACATAGACTCCTGGAGGTGGGGGGAGTTTGGAAGACGAGGGAAACATAATCCAATACTTGGAGCCGCGGACTACTGCGTTCCAGGCGCTAGTGGCATTTGGATCCTTATGGAAAGTGCTTCCTGACCGCTCGGGGCCAATGATCAACCACTGCCTATCAGGGCGGTCATTGCCTAAGACGGAGAAGAAGTCGTCTCCAAAACATGGTGGCGGCCAATATGTGGCGTCGGGCTCCTCATCGGGTTGACCGACCTTGAGGCCCATTTTGGACACGAATGCCCGGTCGAATAGGTAGAGAGGGCTCTCGTCCGAATTGTTCTTCATGTACTCCACATATGTCTTGAACGGCCAGTCCACAGCCTCCGCACGGAATACCGTCTCCGCATATTTCGATAACAACGACTCAACGGTCCAGGTTCGATAGACCGGCCACTCTTTGACAGGTTCAGTCAGGATAAACGGTGTGTCGGACCATTTCTCATGAAATTCTACCGGGGAGAGGTTCGGCAGACGAGCGATTTGGTTTCTGGACGGGATATTGGTGATGTAGGGGTCCAAGGAAATATGCGCGCAGTAGAAGGGACGGTGTAGGGCATCTGAGTACAAAGTCGAGCAGTCTAGGATGGCTGCTTTAGATGGAGGGATGTTGAGATAGGTAGACCGCCATGTTCCTTGCCAGGTAAACGAGGCTGGTGGAGATCTAAAACAATCTTAGTACACGACCAGCTACTGAAGTTCTAGTATTATACGACAGGCATAACACAAAGGCTGCATAGCACAGGGAATATCACTGGTCCTATACGATCACACGTATCCCAGAATTCGTCCCCAGTTATTCCGTTCCAGAACTGATATACATCGAAAACGATCGCAAAATCAAAAACGAAGCACAATGGAAGAGGAAGTTCCAATCTATATGATCTTACCCAATAAAAAGAGACTTCCAAAAGTCCTCGGCTCTAGTAAACGCATAGAAGGCTTTACATGTCTGCCCAATACGCAGCAAACTGCGTCCATCCAGGCACTCTAGTAATATTAAGATCAGTTCATCGGGTAACAAATTGAAGGTTCCAATCGCAGCACGAAGATTCTCCTCGGCAAGCAAAGCATTGCCACTGGGCTTCACCCCCAAAGGATGACCGGGAATTGCATCATGCCCGACCAAATCGTGGTGGTCCAGTGAAGCGATGTCCGGCATTTTGGAAACAAGCGTTAGGCCTTCCCTTTCGGGTGGGGTTTGATACTGCCCGCCAACAAACACAAATGGTTCCAAAAGAAATATGAAGAAATGCGAAAGAGTCAAGAGACAATAGTAGATCAGTTTAGTGCAAACCCCTGGACAAATTAAAAGGGGCGATAAACTATAACCCAAATGACGCTGATGGCAAATTTCTACTTCCGATAGTAACCATCATAGAAATAAGCAAAAAAAAAATCATAAAAATTCTGACAGGCTCGAATCAAACCGCGAAGGCAAAACAGCACCAGGCAAAAAACGTGGGTAGGTTACGTTTTACGGAAGGCGGTATGGATCCGTTGGGCAGAACTGATTGGCGCTAACCGGGTAAAAAATTTTTTAAAATTTTGCGGCTTGAGGAAAGAAGCAGAAGAAGAAAAAAAAAAAAATAAAAATAAAAATAAAAAAGGAAAAGAAAGGAAAGACAAAAAGGTTTGCTATTCTTCTTGTTTTTTTTTTTTCTCTTCTTCTTTCCCTATTCCACACTATCAGTGAAATACATTATTTATTCAACTCCCACATCTACTAGATCTTGTGAAGTCTCTCTCTTTTTTTTGAGAGTTTTAGGTCTAGTCTTTCTCCTTTCCGTGAAAGTTCTTCCGACTTTGATTTTCTGCGACGGCGGCCACCCCACTGGGATCGTTTGTCGCTAAGAAACCCTCACTCAGTTCACACCCAAAACCCCACTGTCTTCCGGTCACAGTTCTTCGCCTGTGATCTTTTCTCTACAACAGTCGCAATCATGTCTGCCGATAAAGGATTGGAAGAAGTCCCTGAGGGTATGTTCTTATCGTGGATTCCATAACTTTTGTCTTTTAGTCCATTCGACGGACTTTTTTTTGGATTTTTTGTGGCGCTGGTCATTTTTTTTCTTCGATGTCGGTCAAAGAGGGAAAAAAAGACAAAAGCACCACACCACACAGAACAAGCATCAAATGTCGAGACTTCAAGATCCAGGCTAATCAGACCCTTCACACCAACAGGACAGATCGAGTCTAACTACGATGAGGTCTTCGACTCCTTCGATGCCATGAACCTCAACCCTGAGCTGCTTCGCGGTATGTGATAACTTTTTTCGACCAGAAGGATGTCGATAAGAGGAAGTACTAACGGGGGGGTTTTTTTTCAGGTGTCTATGCTTATGGTTTCGAGCGTCCCTCTGCTATCCAGCAGCGTGCCATCATGCCCATCATCAAGGGTAGGGTTTTCCTGTCTTTTAGGGTTGATGAGTTGTCAACTGACCGGTGTAGGTAACGATGTCATCGCTCAGGCCCAGTCTGGTACTGGAAAGACTGCCACTTTCTCCATCTCCGCTCTCCAGAAGATCGACACCAACCTGAAGGCCTGCCAGGCCCTCATTGTCGCCCCTACCCGTGAGTTGGCTCAGCAGATCCAGAAGGTCGTTGTTGCCATTGGTGACTTCATGAGCATCAACTGCCACGCCTGTATTGGTGGTACTGCTGTCCGTGATGACATGAACGCTCTCCGTGAGGGCCCTCAGGTCGTTGTCGGTACCCCCGGTCGTATCCACGATATGATCCAGCGCCGTGTCCTGCGCACCGACAGCATGAAGCTCTTCATCCTTGACGAGGCTGATGAGATGTTGTCTGTAAGTTTTACTGCCCGCCCTTGAACGCTTATGGAACACCGGTGTTGACCAAATAAATAGCGTGGTTTCACCGAGCAGATCTACGATATCTTCCAGCTCCTCCCCCAGTCTACCCAGGTCACCCTGCTCTCTGCCACCATGCCCCAGGATGTCCTTGAGGTCACCACCAAGTTCATGCGCGACCCCATCCGTATCCTGGTCAAGAAGCAGGAACTTACCCTTGAAGGTATCAAGCAGTTCTACATTGCTGTCGAGAAGGAGGAGTGGAAGCTCGACACCCTCTCCGATCTTTACGAGACTGTCACCATCACCCAGGCCGTCATCTTCTGCAACACCCGCCGCAAGGTCGACTGGCTCACTGACAAGCTCACTGCCCGTGACTTCACTGTCTCCGCCATGCACGGTGATATGGAGCAGGCTCAGCGTGATGTTATCATGAAGGAGTTCCGCTCTGGTTCTTCCCGTGTCCTGATCGCCACTGACCTTTTGGCCCGTGGTATCGACGTCCAGCAGGTCTCCCTGGTTATCAACTACGACCTGCCTGCCAACCGTGAGAACTACATTCACCGTATCGGTCGTGGTGGTCGTTTCGGTCGTAAGGGTGTTGCCATCAACTTCGTCACTGCTGACGATGTCCGCATGATGCGTGAGATCGAGCAGTTCTACAGCACCCAGATCGAGGAGATGCCCATGAACGTTGCTGGTAAGTGCCTTCCCCAGGTCAATCTTCTCACACATGGATTTTCGCTAATTGCTCAACAGACCTCATCTAAACACCCCCACCTTTATACCTCACGATGCGGATTACGATCGCAGTTGCCAATAGCGGTCCAAGGGTAAGCTGCGGTGGAAAAGGCGTTATGACATCGTCGTGCTTCTCTTGGCAAAGGAGAATCCTTCAAAAGTGGCTTCCTGTGTCTCCAGCATTTATTTTTACTCGCGGCGGCTAATGGAGGGTACCTCTGCTAGCTGCTGTTTATGGTTTCCTATGTTTTCTTGCTTATGGAGATGCGACATGTTTGTGCGAATTATTGCTGTAATTCATGGTTTCTCTTCCGCCTTTTTCCAACTTTTTTTCCCTTTTTGTACCTAGCTCGCTCTGGTTGGTTAAGGATGCTGCACATACTTAATCGAAAGGTCGAGCCAAAAATTGATTTGTTCATTCAGGCAGTTTGGGTGGACAATTAGACGATCATGACGTTGGGGTGGTTGTGTACCTACTTCAGTACAATAGACAAAGAGGTAATACCATCCATGATTTATGTTTCTAGTCCTGAATTGTTGTGTTGGGGGGATGACCACTCCCAACCCGTTTTCCTACCGTACAATGCTTTCCTCTTTTAGACTCCTCGCTATATCTTCCCGATTTCTTTAACCTACTGCCTGCCTGTCGAAGGCAGCCTTAACTATCCAATAAAGTCCGAATGGAACCCTCTCCGCTTCAGTGGGAGCCAACCCCCTCCGCCCTCCTCTGGGCCTACGAAATCCGGCGTGAGAACATTCACCTGGCCGATGAAATCCATAAAGCCAAAGCTGAGCTTACCTCAACCGTAGACACTATCAACGAAGTGAAACAGAACGTCAATGAATTGAGTCGACAAGTGAAGCAATCGGAGACTAATGCTATTGAGAATCTTCAGTATCTTGACACTAGGATCACACATGGATCCAACAATCTGCTCAGGCGCGTCGAGGCCCTGGAAATTGAGAACAGAAGATTGAAGGAGGAACTTGAAAATGTTAGGAAAGAATGTGCTGCGCATTCGAAAGGGTTGTCCCTTGTATCGGAATCCATGAAGACAGAGATTATGAATGAGGTTAGGAGGATATTGGCACAGGAGAGGGGTTCTTTACGAGTCAATGAGCTACTCGGAGAATCTCATGGCAATTCTGGTAAGTATTTCTCTCATAGCTCATATGGTTCCGGCGTTCCGTTCGCTGTGTATGAAGTTTGTCTGAACTCGTGTGTGCTGTTTGAGGTGGGGGATATTGTCGATTTGGTCAACTGATCGAGGGCAGATATGGCTCGAATAGGGTCTGACATACTTGTCCCTGACTCATTGCCCAAGGATGTCACTGCTTCAGCAGGAGAACAGGGAAACTCTTTGCAGGCGTTGTCTGAGACCACATGGGGCCCATCCAGGTCTAGTTCGATTGAAGGACGGCGTAGTACTGAAATAGGCCAGTCCAACAGAATGATCATGCAGGGGCAAGAGAACTTGCGCCATCTCTTTAGACAAAGTGCGAGGCCGCTGGGGACTTATTGGTCATATGCCATAGATACCCGAATTCACTTGCCTTTGTGGATCAAGAGCAGCGATATTGCAAAGGCCTTTGTAAATGGATTGGAAGATATCGCTACCCGAGATTCGATGGAAAGGGAGCTACATGCTGCTGGATGGTCGTGGGATGTGTTGGCTGGCGTCATGCATAACAAGCTCAAGGAGAAGAAGTTTCAAACAGCCACATTGCCTGTTCGAATGAAGGCAGGCTCAGGAAAATCTGACGAGGCTTCGAAGCCTAACACTCCGATCAAGCACAAGAAGAAGAAAAAGCGAAGAGTAATTCCTATAATACCGGTGGATGAAGCCGATCTTCTTGAGATAAATTCATGAATCAAACCTCGTGTTTCACATATCCAGATGTGCGCAAGGTCACACAATGAAGTGTTGCATTGAGGTATGTATATCTTGAGTATCGGAACTTCATACAATCACATGTTCACCCACAGCCTAAGTCTCAGCGTACAGGTAACGGCCCTCCCGGTCCTTTACCTCAACCTCAATCCGGCCTTCTTCGATTTCCTTTCCGTCGACTTCGATGGAGGCTCTCATCACATCTCCGGCCTTCACCTCTCCGACGCCCTTGGGTGTGCCAGTCAAGACCACGTCACCCTTCTCCAAAGTCATGACTCGCGAGATCTCGGCCAGCAGTCTTGGGATCCGGTAAAGCATCAACCCGGTTGAGTCGGCCTGGCGCATCTGGGAGCCGACGCTTAGACGAAGGAAAGCATCGTGAGGGTTGGGGATTTGCGACTTGGCGATTTCTTGAGAGACAGGCAGGAATGTGTCGAATCCCTTAGCAATGGACCACGGGAGACCCTTCTTCTTAGCTTCGTCTTGTACGTTTCGAGCGGTCATGTCAATGCCGAGAAGGTAGCCTGTAGGAGACAATGGACTATTAGTGTCTGTGAACTGCTTTTTGAGGAAAGAAAAGACCGTCCGAGTGCTGGAGACTGACTGTGAATAGCATCCAAAGCTCCCTTCTCATCATTCGGGTCATGATCCCGAAGTGTCTTGCCCATCACCAGCGCCAATTCGACCTCATAGTGTAGGTTTGTTCCCTTAGGACGCAAGACGGGGCCCTCGCCAGGACACAGAATGGCCGAAGCGGGCTTCAAGAAGAAGAAAGGCTGCTTGGGCGTTGTGTTTTTGAGCTCCGTGATATGGTCGCTTCGCAGATAAGCGTTAGTCTGGCGTACGAGCTACCTAGAATGATTCTCGGGAAAAGAAGCTCACGCATAGTTGCGGCCAATGCAAATGACCTTGCGACAATTGGCCCTAATTGAGGCTGCCATTGTGGTTATATATAGATATAGATATATATATATATATATTTGTAATTGAGGGAATATGAGGGGCAGGTGTGCGACACAGGACGGAGCTATGTTAATATAGGTGATTTCCGTCGGAGAAGAGCCGATGCGCCGGAATTGGGGCCCGAAGTCTTTCTGCGGAGAAGCTTCGGATTCTCCGAGTCTCGGAGCTTCGTGCCTGCGATCTGTCTATATCTTTACCCGTGTAGATTTAATTGATGGGAAATGCTGATGGTGACTCATTGACATTACTATCTGGAGGGTTAACTTTGTGGGGAAATTCGAAATTATTATTCTTCCTCGTCTCAACTGCTCCGGTCTAAACATGATTGTCATCCCAGGACGTATTGACTTCTTACGTCACTGCTGAAAGACAAGCAAATAGACTTCTATCAAAGGATGAAACAGTCTCTCATTGAATGCATCTTACATAGACTAGTAGAACTTGCATACTGCATATCTGCCAAGACGTTCCCCTTGCTCTCACTACCCCCCATACCGATAGCTGTACTGTTATAGCTTCGCAAATCACTCTTCTTGAGCCACAGAACAGGTTGTCAGCATCGAGATACACATTCGTCAATATGCAAGTAGCCGAAATGCTGTCCGACTTGACCTCATTGCGAGTCTGCGTATGTAGCCATTTTATCCCTTGATATAGTAGCTCAAGCATGCCAGCAAGGCCAGTTCCTTGAATTAAGTCTTTTATCTTACATTAACTCATCGCCACCTCAATGCCCCCGTACTAACGGGTCCAGGACTACAATGATGCCGTCGCACTTGTCACCGTTCACGAAAGGATACCCGCTGAGTTCTCTCCCGCAGATGGCGGCCTTGCTGCTGCAAGCCAGCAAAGCGAAAAAGCAAATGGCGATCTCCAGCGTGCAAAGGAGCTCGTCGACTTACATTACGAGATTAAAGCGCGGCATGCCGATGGAACCGTTGATGAGGAGCTGGCGCGTGCGAGAGAGGATGTGAATCGTGTTCTGATGGAGCTTGGGCATTGATAGGAGGCAGGATCTTGGTGTCATTGTTCCATTGGGTGGTTATGAGGTACTCTTGTACGATATGATGTTTATGTTTTTTATTCAATAGTGGATGGAAAGGGCTATGTATTCCCTACTACGATAACCCTTCAATGATAACATGCAATACAGCTAAGATGAAGCCGACAGCTACTCAGAACGCGTTCCGCTGATATCAATGCAATATGGATATACGCCTGTCTGAGTATGCGCTAGCCCGTAATATCTTTCAGAACCACAAATCATACATCAAAAATCCAAGAGCAGTCGAGAAAGAAGTAAACCAGGCTCTGTTTGACCTATCGTCATCCAAATGGTGGTCCTTAGACAGCGTCTGCTACTTGAGTCTTTTCCAGCACATCCCAATCGGGTATCATTGGATGGTCACCGGCCCGATATTTCACCGAGCTGTCCCTGCGCTACGGCCTGTCGGTACGGCCAACAGCGCAGTCTCATCGCTCGATAACTAGTCTCACGCGTTCTCTTTTCCCAACGCCAGTGCAGGTCCGATATCGAACCATCAGCTTGCAAGCATGGCGGCCAGCGTGGATGCCAAGCTCCTGAGGCAGACCAAGTTCCCTCCCGAATTCAGTCGGAAGGTGGACATGACCAAGGTCAATATTGAGGTCATGAAGAAGTAAGTGCACTGAGCGTTCCCCGAATGTCAATTCAACGCTAACCGTGAGGCGTGACTTGGTCGCAGATGGATTGCGGGAAAGATCTCGGAGATCCTAGGGAATGAGGATGATGTCGTGATTGAGCTTTGTTTCAATTTGCTTGAGGGGTCTCGATTTGTACGTTGGGTTCATTTACGAACTCCGCGAGGATACTAATTGTTTCATTCGTTTCTAGCCCGATGTCAAGTCGTTGCAGATCCAGCTTACGGGTTTCTTGGATAAGGATACTGCGAAGTTTTGCAAGGAGCTTTGGTCCCTATGCCTCAGTGCGCAAGAAAATCCTCAGGGTGTCCCGAAGGAGCTTTTGGAAGCTAAGAAGCTCGAACTCATACAGGAGAAGGCAAGTGACTGTATGCCTAGCAACGCTTCTACCCTACTGACTGTATTACAGATTGAAGCCGAAAAGGCAGCCGAAGAAGCTCGTCGGCAAAAGGAAGAAGAACGGGTCCGAGAACGAGAACTAGAGGAGCTCAGGCGGAGGGAACGTTCTGAGCGGGGAAGAGGTGGAAGGCGTGGTGGCCGTGGAGGGGGTCGAGACTTTGACAGACGTCGCAGCCGTGATCGCTTCCAGGACCGGCCTTCACGCCGCGAGTTCGACTCCTATATTCCCCCGGGTTCGCGCAGGAACCGTCGCCCTTCTAGATCACCAAGCCGCTCCCGTTCTCCCTCCGCGTCTCGCTCACCACCCCCTCGTCGCGAACGCCAGCCTAGCAGGAACAGAAACAGGCGTCGCCGATCGCCTAGCAGCTCTGTATCTCCGGACAGAGACAGGAGGCCGAGGAGACGTAGTCCTGATTACGGTGATCGAGCTAGATCCATTTCCCGCAGTGATTCCTCACGCTCACGTACTCCCAGAAGAGACCGACGGAGACGGAGATCCGTTTCTTCCCACGGTTCATCCCGTTCCCCTGCACCCAAGGACCGGCGCAGAAAAGACTCTTACTCCAGATCTCGTTCTAGGTCACGTGAGCCGGGTGATAGAAGCGCCAGACGGAGGAGATCATCGCCTTATTCTTCAAGAGCTGATAAGAAAGAATCCACCGCTGATTTTGCAAAGGCCCGCAAGAACCGTGACGACCGCCGCTTGAGTCGCAGCCGCAGCAGAAATCGCGATGATACCCGCCGACGTCGGTACTCGAGGAGTATCAGTCGCAGCCGTAGCCGCAGCCGAGGACGAGGCCGCTCTCGCAGCACCAGCTCCAGTCCGGGACGTCATGATTCCCGCAGTCGCAGCCGTAGCCACAACAGGGAAAAGAAGAGACGTCGCTCTATCCAGCGATATGCTCCTGCCGCCCGCAGACGGCGTAACACCTCTTCTGTATCCGTCCGTAGTGAAAAGCGACAGAGAATGACTGATCAGGAAGACAATGCCGCAAAGCGGTCATCGCCACCACCTGAGAAGCCCAACTCGTCAGATCACGAGATGAAGGATCCTGAAGAGGTGGGTCAATGATTTTAAAGGTATTTCCATCTCGCTGAACCAGTATGAATTTCATATTTGTCATGGCAACTACAACCCCCAATGCTCTCCATCCAAACGGGTCGGCGTTTAGACTAATGCAGTGAATAGCAGAGTATGCACTCTATCCGACCTCCTCGTGCACCAATATGCAGCACCGAACTACACGAGAGGCTTCTACGCGAAAAAATCATCGCAGTGCGTCGTACCGCCTCTAGCGACAAGGTGAGTGACAATTCGTGACACTCGGAGTGGATCAAAGATAGGAGGAATCTTAAGCTTCATGAAATGAATGACACCATCTGCATACACTTCCAAAAGTATTAGCGAGTCTCATCAAGGAATAAAAGGGAAAAAAATGATGACAAAGGAGATCACTACTAGTCTACTTCCCCATTGCAGACGGATCTTGTTGCATAATATGGGTTTATAATTGGAACATTTATGACCAGCTCACAAAACCGCAAAAAAATGAAAATGAAAAATAATGAAAGTCCTCATTCCGAATCTTGCAACTCCCTTCCCTATTCGGACTCATCTCCTGAGCGGAAAACAGGAACAAAAATTCGTCCGTCCCGTCAATAGTTGGGATGATCGTCGCGCTCAGAAATAGGAATAAGAGTAGTCTTTGAACCAGCATCCCACTATTTTTTTTTCTAATGGCTTGATTCGATATCCCTTTTTGAAAGGCCATTTTTAATAAAAAGTAGACCCTGTTAGTCACAACAAACACCTCTTATTGGGATCGGCTAAGACCCATCAGCTGGATGCGTGCTATTGTTATCTAGTCCACGGGTGCATTTTAGGACATTCGTTAGCAGTTGGCTTTTCAAGGGGTTTATGTGGGTACTCTATAGGCTGTTTTCTGTCATATTGTCCATAGGGAGAGGCATGTGTATGACTATTCTATGGGAGATGATGATCTCTCGGTGGTACTACGTAGATTCCCTTGTGTTTAAAAAAAAATTAGCTATCTTGCTAATATAGATCCGCCGGCATAGTTAAGGTTACACGGCCTTGAACAAGGTTGAGAACAGTAGTTATGCTCGTTATATTACTAAGATTCGTCAAGTACTATACAGGCAGTAGTAGGTATATTGTAAAAGAAAGAATGTACTCCATGGAAGGGAATCCACAAAAAGAATAAAACAGAACCAGAACGTAAGTCTTCCTTGTCAGTGAAACATGTACTCCCCCAGATCGCAAGTCCCCCGCAAAGAGCATCTACGCATGATCGGGGTAAAACCAGGCGAATTAGAATTAGAATTAGGTATTTACACGATGCATACTGAGCGTTTCTGCCATTGCGATCGTCTCGTAATCTTCAGCCCATGTGGTTGACTGATTTAGGGCTCGCAAACAGCGACGCTCACGGTGGTGGTGATGGTGACCACCTTGGGAGCGGGGCCGGAGCTGATAGCGGGGGCAGTGGTGATAACAGGAGGGACATCGGTGGTGCTGACAGAGGGAGCATCAGTCTCGGTGGCGACCGGGTAGACGGTCTCCGAGGTCAAGGTGTCGCAGGGAGTAGTCTCGGCTTCACCGGCAGGGCCAGTCTGAGTAGGAACAGCGGGCACGCTCACGGACTCCGAGCCAGTAGGGCTGACGTCGGTGGGGGC